GGACAAATGGGAAGGAAGAAAAGGCCATAAAAAGGAACAAATTTCAATGTGCCATTATAATTTTTGACTATCTTCTCCCTGACAAGCAAATCTGCAGAGCATTTAAGATCAATATGTGACAGAGTCAGACAGAGAGGGAGGTGCAGAGAGAGATGCCACTTGAGCTGGCACACCAGATCTTTAAATAGAAAAGCTTTCAGGGAACTCAGGGCAGGCGCTTACTGCACAAAACTTAATTACAGCCATACCCATCCCCCCATGCCCCCCCCCCTTTAACAGCCCCCACACACTTTTTAGCTGCAGCAGTTGGGGAAGGGAAGGGGGAAAGGCACTAAAACCAGCATGGGCCCCCAATCCTGGTATCCCCCTGGGCTGGTGTATTGGGATGGAGCTGTCAGCTCCCCCCAGGGCTGCAAGTCCCTGGAGAGACAGTACCTGTTAGTCAGCTCCTCCGCTTCCTCTGGGTCCACAGCCTCCTCCTCCTCTTCTTCCTCCTCCTCCTCTTCTTCCTCCTCCTTCTCTTCTTCCTCCTCCTCTTCTTCCTCTTCTTCTTCATCCTCTATGAACGACGAGGCCTCAGACACCCTGTCACACTCTGCGCCGTGGTAACCCTCCATGCCCTTCCCAGCTCAGGCCCTCGCCGGTGATTTTTACCTCCGACCCTGTCCTCCCCAGGGTTGCCTGAAGCAACTGTCATCCCCAGCAGCTCTCGCTTCTCCTGACTCAGGGCAGTCTTTAAATAGAAGGCAGTGAAGTTACAGCACCGAGCTGCTGCTGGTCCTACCCTGGGTCCTAGCACCAACCCAATCGGGTGCCAGGACACGTGGCAAAACCCGACAGCCATCCATCCGCCCATCCAGCTGCTCGCCCCCTTCACCCGCCCACCGATGCCAACAAGGTGTTTCTGCAGTGGAGACGGGGCAGCCAGGCAGCAGCGGGGAGGAAGGGGCTGGGGCCCCAGCACACCTTCCCAAGCCACCTCTGGCGAATTTGGGGTGGACAGCACAGATGAAGCGGAAGGAGAGTTTTCTTGTGGCCCCAAGAAAAAGTGCATTTAGTATGTTCAAAAGCAACCTGAGCACACCCAGAGTGCCTCAAATTTGAGCTAGAGAGGTCAAGTACAGTTTCTAGTGGATGAGCCTAGGATACACATCTTTAATAATTAATACCGTACCGTAAGAGTGATCAGATGCACTGTAGCTTTTAACAACACACAGGCAATAGATTTGAACCCCCAAATTTGTAAATGTCTTAAATCACAGGTAATTTCAAATTTCTTCTTTGAGTGGACTTTAACTGATTTTAATTTAAAGCAAAGACAAACTACAATACCATGTAGGGTTTAGGTTAAGCCACATTTACCCTTTATTATTCTGCATTTCACACAAAATGCAGTGCTTTTCACAGACAAAATGGAAATATTTCCAACCTGTACTAGCCAAAATAATGACTTTTTAAAAAATAATTTTTTAGAAGAGGGGGTGAAGCACCAAAACTCTGATTCTAAATAAAGAAATTCCAAGTTATTTCAGGTATAAAACACTATATGCACCGTATAACTCCAATCCCATTTTTTCTTTCTCTCCCCCCCCCCCAAATAAATAGCTGGTTATAAATCAGTCAGCGAACTCTTCCTTGTGTTACAAGTACAGAAACACCCAAGCAGGTATTTCTGAGTACAAGCTCTCTCTGCAATGCTAACTTAAAATTCTACCGACAGATTCACTTGAAGTAAAATATTTCCCAAAGGTTACATACAGATAAAACCTGTCTGCTCTCTTGACTGAGGTACACAATTTACAAGGACAGAACATAATTCCTCAAAAAATTGTTCTTGAAGCAGATACTAACTTAAACTCCAGATTTTATCATGAGCACAGAGACAGTGTACACAGCACAATGAAATTTAAGGTAGAGGACTTCACATTCTTTACACATTGAAGGCAAGAGCATTACAATCTTCTAGAAATGCTTATATAAGAAGCATACATATATTGCACAAGTTTTGATTCAGTCTTTAGCACGGCAAGAGGAAGGTGAGTACCCTTTTACCAGAATCCCTTCAAATTATTTCCAGACTTAGTGCTCTCCCTTCTATACTTCTCACAACTTAATTTGACCTGTAAGTTGACCAAAATAGCATATTCTTTCACACTCTTCCTACAAGTGTCATACTCTGTAAAACCAATGAGGGAATGATTTCTAATAAAACACACAAGTATTAGAGAAAACAAGGCAAACGTAACAAAAACAAACACTACAAAATACATGTGAGAGAACCCAGAGCAAGTAGAGTCCATTAAATTAAGAGTGACATTCTCTGATGAACTTAAATTTAACACCAAGTATACTGTGAATTGAGTCCAGTGACCCAAGTTCAAGTAAAGCATTGGTTCCAAATAAGCATTTGGGACGGTATTCATAAACACTAACTTCAGGTTACCTACAAATTGTCTTACATCGTTTATCGTGGCTGCCCATTTCTCCCAAATAACCATGTCACCTTTCAATTTGAGTTTTAAAACTGGTTTATATTGAATTCTTTGTAAAGGATTTCTTAAAAATAACCTCTCATGCTGTCAGAACACCTTAAGGTACAGGGAGTATACTTACACATTTTAGAAGTGAGAGCAAGAGAGCTAGAAGAGAAACTTCCAAGTTTCACAGTAGACAGCCTATGTCAGTTCTGGCACTACTATTACTGAATGGGAAGCTCTTGCAATAGTTCAGTCCACCAGTACACCTCTGAGTCTGTTAATTAAAAGCACTGCTAGAGGACTAAAGAGAGTTCCTAAAATCCCAAATGAGACACACCAGTAGTTTCTGACATTATAGGTGAGAAATGACAGGCAAACCCAGTGCCAAAATGAGTAGTCAAAACTAGTCCTAAAATAACAGAGCTGAACTAAAACATTTTTATTTCAAGGCAGTAAGAAGCCTCAGAGAAGTTAGCATCTTGCACACATGCTGAAACTTCCCTCGGTCAGCCATGAAAAACACATTTTATCAAAGGTGTCCCAGAAAAACTTCCTGCTGGGGTGTATACCAAGGGATAGGTGTGTGAAGGTTTTTATTTTGAAGTTGAGGAGAAGGGAAAACTTCATGCTAACACTAAGATAGCCATTGGTGGATTTCTTGCTCTGGATACCTGCTCAGAGTAGATGAAAATCCAGGTCATTAAACCTCTGAACAACTTCAGACTGTGCAGAACTGCATCCAAAGTTAGTTAAAGTTCAGATCCTACTCACTGTCCCCAAACCATTTATTTTGTGGTATTTTATCTGGAGTTTTCTGATGAAAGCTACAGCCCACCATTTAACCAGTATCATTATGCTCACTTACAGAAAGTGGTTCTGCTCTTGTTTGCCTTGACAGGAGAATAATATAATGTGACTTCTGCTGAAATTTGTTAACATGTGAGAGCACTGCCACTTTCCACGCTCCTGCCAGATCACCCACTAGCTTCTTTTGCTGTAAGCTAAATCAAGTTACACCACCTTGCATCTTGCTTATTTAACACAGGAAATTACTGGGGAGTTTTCTGTTGTTACAGAGGCTGCAACAAACAGGCTTGTCCCCAAACAACTGGGGAAAACTACCATCTAGACTTCATATTTCTGATTATAAATGTAGCTTGTCAGAAGTACATAAAATTAAGAAAGGCAAAAGGATTCTTTTGAAAGACACAGGCCAGTGTGGTTACAGATCTTGATTTGTATTAAAAAGATCACTGACCTGGTGGGTCACTTTACAGAGTTGCAGGGAGGTACCACAATTTTTTAACTGTCCATTTTAAAACAGTTAGGAAGAAGTGGTTTCAAACATAAAGCAGTAATCTAAGGTGTGAGAGATGTTGACACATTAGGTGATGTAATGCAAACTCGGAAGAGGCAGACACACACAAAGTTTTGTGCCTCACATCCAGCTCACTTGAAATACATTTTGCCAAGTTTGAACATGTATGTCCCTTCTTAGTTAGGCTACATTGTGAAAGTTTTAAACTCTCTAGATGAAGAAATAGCCAGCACCTTTTTCAAAAAAGAGCAGCCCTCTCCTCCCCCCAAAATCCACCTAGGGCTTGTAAAGCATCTTTGAATCCAGACATCACCCTGTATGAAAAACTTGTGCTTCCATTTTACATAAAGCAGGTCAAAGTGAATGTTTCACTGAGGCCAAGTCTACCATCTTATGAAGGCTAAGGGTGGTGAGGGGGAACACACGCATGGAGGGAGAACATTTTAGTGGACTGTGAGAGTCAGATTAAAACTGAAAGACTGTTTAAATTGCAGAAAGAAGCTGCTTTAAGCAGCAAGTCAAAATCTTACGTAGACTAGATGATGAATTGTGTAGTGAGTAACCTCACAGCAGGCAAATAATTTACAGTTTCTAGAACTTCTAAAACTTGAAATAAATTAGAGCTTAGAAGTTTGCAAGAGATAGTGCTTGTTATTTCACACAGTTATAATGGTTTTCACAATCTCGTTAGATACAGCAATAGATGAAACTTTTACCTGTACAGAGACACAGCACAGAATAGCCATACAGAAGTTTATGATTTGCAACAGGCATTTTACCTTTACAGGGCATTTCATTTTCTACTTAATTACAGGAAATATTTTAAATATGCAGTACAAAATAAAGTGGAAAAATAAGCTGTATCTTCCATATACAAACTTTATTCCACTAAGCACCATACAAAATATTAGACTTAAAATGAAAATGTGAACTTGACATCAATGGTAAGTACAATTTTAACAATGTTATTGGTATTCAATAACAAATATATGAGAGGCACAAAGTGTGCTACAATAGGTCTAGAAGAGGGTACACAACTTTTTTGGAAAAGCTAAATTTTCAAGATTACTTATTTAAATTCAATTTACAGTAGGTGACCAATTTACAAACATTTACACAAAATCAAAACAAAAGCCCACCTTATTGTGGCAGTGGTAGTGTTGTGGGGTGTTTTGGGATGTTTGTTTGTTTGTTTGTTTTCCCCAAAGCAGGTATCACTACTACTTCAAATATGTAAAAGGAAGCACTGAAAAGTATCTTGCCTACTCTGTGTGACTATGAAGTATTTATGTATATTGATTTATCCTTTTTTACTCCAACTTCTTTGTAGTAGAACTGTTACTTGGAAATTCCAGTTTAGATTACTGTTCTTGATATCCAGAACACTACCAACCATAAACTAGCTTAATTTTTATAAATTGTTGCTTGTTATTCCATGTAAGAGACAAATAAAACTGGAAAGTTGAACAAAAGTGCTTACTGCAATTAAGCAGATGTAAAGCATGGGCTGTCTGTTCATCAAGAAGTGGATACTGTGCACAATGCCTTAAGGATATAGTCAGGCTTGCATATTGTTTAGCTCTGAATGTCTTCATTTCATGGTTAAGTGTGCCTGAATTAATGATTACACAGATTATGGAACCAACAAGTTGGCATATTCCCATACTTTCCTTCAAATGGATTTATTCTTGTGGTTTGCTGTTTGAGTTTCTTCTAGAAGTCAACAATGCAAACATTTTCAGAAAACATATCTTTGAATGAACAGCTGTATTAACAAATGTTGATAATAAAATATGCAATCTTTCTTATAAACATTTCCTTAACAAAAGTTTACAGAGAAAAACATGTAATAAAAAACCATGGGGTAACTGCCTCTTGATTTTGATACTCTTTATTTCAGCAAGATCCAGTAAGAAGAAGAAAGTGAAAGAAGCTGGTTATCTTTTCTGTACGGTCATTCTTAAAGGTAGTATGCAATTCAGGTCCTTCTTGTCTCGTAATACCTGCCAAGACTGGGGAAAAAGTACAAGGTTTTAAAAGGCTAAATAATCTTTGCCATTAATACTTAAATACCACTGTAAGCAGTAAGCCTCATAGATCCACAAAAATAAGGTCAGTATTTTTACCCTTCTTGAAAAGAGAGGGGGGTGGATTTGGGTGTTAGGGGAAGAAAAAATCCAAAAGGTATACAAAATGCAATGAACTACTGAGGAAGGTGCAGGCTTTGAAGAGAGCATATTTGTGGAGACTGAGATGTTAACATTATTTAAGCATTACATTTGATATTCTGACTGCAAAATAATTGTCTCAAATTCACACATGTCAAAATTCCTAATAGAAGATGTTATACTCTGACATTTCCAGAACTTAATTGTGTCTTTAAAATAGGTTATTTCAATTTTCTTCTGTATTCTAGTGTGAATTCCAAGACACATCTGTCAGGTCATGAACGTACAAATAACTGCAGAGACCCTCCTGTCTTTACACAGAATTCATGTAAACCACAATGTGTAATAAAAACCACAGGAAGAATAATGTCTCAAGGGCAATGAGACAAACAGATTTGTTAGGCTTCTTAAAAAAAGTGCAAGATATATTATATAGACTTCCAGACAGCTAGGATGAAACAACTGCTTTTGCATTTTTCTGACCACCACACAGGTTTGAAGCCAATTTTTTAACTGAAAACTATTTTCAGAGAATTTCACTCTGATTTCACAGAACAGTGACAGAGCCCAAGCTCCTCTGTAAAGCACTGCTTTATCAGATTCACAAAATCAAGTATTTTATGTAAAAGTATGTTAACAGTTCAGTATTTTGTATGCTAACATGGTTAAATAGAAGGAAACTTACATTTCTGAACAGAATTACAAAGCAAAAACATTATTCTGTTCTGACTAAGGCAACACCTTATAGCATTTGTTCTATTACAAGTATCTGGTACTGATTTCCTTTTTGCTGGAGAAGCCCTCAAGGTATTTAAGGACTTGATTAACTGGAGTAAACAGGAGCCTCCAGTGACAGTGTAACAGGGGAGTCTGTCTGGTTAAAGCTGAAAGTGAGTTCTGTGCACTAATTCCTAGGCAGAACTACATTATGAATAGTCAGAGATCTCAGAAAACTATGATTTGAGCTGTGATTCCAAATGCAATGCCTATGATAGGAGACAAATGTAAAAGAGCATTGGTAGCAAGTATTTTTAGAAGAAAGATATTTAACCAAGGCCTAAATCTTTGCTTGCTTCAAAAAGTGTCCTTGCCTCCTCCACTGACTGGAACAGTGAAAGCTCCAGTTTGAGCTACTTATGTTCTAAAATCATGAGTGTGGTCTCCCTGAAGTATGCATCAATTTAATTCAGTTGTCAGAAACCAACAGATAACCATTGGTGGTGATATTTATAAAAAAGGGATACTAAGAAGTACAAAACATTGTTTATGACCAGTCAAATTCAGGTAGGAAGAAATAATGAAGATAAAGTTGTAATTCTAAAGCTATTAACCATCATTAGAATTTTACACACACAAGAAAATCTAAAGACAAAGGTTTTACTATTTCAAGTACCCATTTCAACATAAGCCTGATGCTTAATGGCAGACATTAATAAATACTCTTACTAAATAATTTTCCATAAAATTTTTTGACAACACATTTCTGTTATTCCTATAGTACAAAGCATAAAAATATTCATAACACAAACATCAGAAATAGGCACGTCAATGACTAGCATTTGTATGACTATCTTGAAAGCCAAAGTGACCGGAAAAATTAAATGAGATGCACTTTTTACCTTCAGAATTTCACCTTTGATAATATCAAACTTGTGTTTCTCATGTACAGCTCTAGCAGTGTTTGTCCTATCAAAGGGCTCTGCAAGATCAAACACAAACATTAAAAGTGTTAAAAAAACCCCTAGAGCTAGGCTGTCTTCACTGAGGAAGTAATCAGACAAAACCCAGAAGGGTCAATGTATCATTGCTTCCCAAGAGTGTTTTGAGTGGCTGATTCCACTTTGCTTCCCAATCTTTATTTCTATGTAACATTCATCAAAAAAAAAAAAAAAAAAAACAACCCCCAAACCCTGAATGCTGTAATGGTACGCAATCCATAATAAAGTCAGGTTATTATAATTGTTGAAGCACACTATGATTGTGCTGAATTTATGCATCAGTAATTGTTACTGCTTAAGAGTCTGTGATATCAGAACATGATTTTGCATATAAAAATGTTTTGAAACTTACTACACATGTGCCTCTTGGAACTGTTCACTTTAGATTCATTCAACAGCTTCTCAGTGAAATACAAGGAGTACAGTAAAGTATTTACTATCACTTTTTATAGAAGATGCATCAACTGCTGTAAAAATATACTTTATCAGTTCATACCTATTAAACAATATCTACTCATAAGTTAATTTTGGGCTTCCACCGTCTAACAGACTACAAATTCATGTGATGTCTTCCCTGTTTTTGTGGTTTTTTTTTTTTTCCCCCTAACATAATTAATACTTTGGAACATTTTTTTAAAAAAAAAAAAATATTGAGGGATTAAAAAAGTACTCCTTGCTACCGATAGGGTTGCCAACATTAAAGAGATAGATACTAAAAAATCATGATGCAGAGACTATGCATTATGATGCACTACAAAACAGATTTTAAAGTCTTTTTTTCCTTAACTGCTTAAGTAACATGGTATATTCACACTGGCAGAATGTATGAAAGTCCTTAAGGGCCACAGAACCACAGAAGTTTTTGCTAGATCAGGTAGCTTTTTTGTTAAGTTGGTTATGAATTGCTTTTATTCAAATAGGGACATATAGTAAAATAAAGTACTAAGACATCAGAAGGGCTTATGCCATTATGGAGAGTGGGACTTCAAATGTCGAACATGCTCCATGGCACTGGGTTTTTATTTCTGCAAGCTATTTAAATTCATAAAGAAATTGTTTCATGCATCAATGTTGTATTTGGCAGGTTTCTAAAAGGTTTCTCTTCAAACTACCTATGAAGTTTTCAGTGGACTTTACAGCCAAATGTATTTTACTTTAGAACGTGTCATACATTTAGATTGGAACAAAAAACTATCAGATAAAAAAGGTACATAATCCTCTAAAATCAGTCACGTAATTTGACACAGTGACCTACTGCCACCAAGAATTCCATGTCCCTTACAACGTGAAGCAGTACAGCATTTCTTTTGCTTGTCTTAAATGTGACATTAACTGTTTCTTTAATGCTAGGACCTTCATGTACTTTGTTGAATCAAGAGATACATATTTTTTTAAAGCAACAAGAGCAAAGCTGTGCAATCTTCTGAAACTGTCAGCGAGAAAAAAGGTACTCTAGTCACAAAAGCTGACTCACATCTTCCTTTTATTCTTCCTGCATTATTTACTGACTGACAAAAGACAAACTCATTCCCTGGAGTGCAGCAAGACTAATTTTGCAATCAGGTACTATTTACACCACTACATTTTCTAACCATCAAGACAGTGAGAGTCCATCATAAGTTATTTTGTTCACACACAAAGAAATAAGAATATTAAAAGAAAAAAAAATACAACTTCAACATGGATGCTTGAGGGAAAGGCTAAAGGGTATCATCTTTCCAAATGAAAATACAAGAAATCATGAAACTTCAGAACTGCTGCAAACCAAGCCCTAAGGAATTATTTTTAGAATTATTTTTAACATGTGGATCTGAGAGATTTAAAAGTACAAGCATGACTCAGCTGCAGCTTAGACAGCTTCTGATCCAGTTTCCCTAAATGACTATCAATTTAATTGTCTCACAAAATTGCCATGTTTCTAGCTTTTCCAAACTGTGTCTTTTTCAATAGGAGAGTGTATGATATTATTTGATATAGACAAGATTTAAACTGAAACCAGAATAGTCACTAGCAGTTTAGAGATTCTGCCAAGGAATGTTCACAAACATCAGCTAAACCCAGTGTTCTCTGTATCCTTGTAATGGTAATAGCCTGACTGTCTGAAAAGAGCATCTCTAATATATTTGTTTCTCCAACAACAGAAACACAAATGAGAATCAGTCTTAAGGCCGATAAAAATTAAAACAGAACACAATATTTTCTTTGAGTGAATGAGCCTAAATACAGTGCTACATGCAGAATATGGCAACTTGCAGGCATAGACTTGTGTAATCTATCAAATATATTTAAAATATTTAAAAATATATGCACTAATACCGATTACTGACATTTTAGTCTGCTAACTGGAAAATCTGACAAAGACTTGGAAACCACAATATATTGACATGTTTAGCTACCTTTTAAAAGCTCAAAGAACACTGAAGTTTATCTACATACTTTGTTAAACTAGTCCAGCTTAACAGCTGTTATAAACATGAAGCCTACTTTGAGCTGAAATAAGAAATTTAATTTTTCCCTTCCATTTTAGAGGTAAAAACTTGGTCTGTGAGGCTAAAACCCACCTTAATAAAGGCTTGAAGTACATTGTAACGGGAAGGGATAAGACGTGCCACCTACAGATAATTTTGCTTTTTTAATAGTTCAAATGCAAAATGCACTAGTAAGGAAAAAGTTGTATGTAACCATGTCCATTTAATACCAATTCTGAAGTGCCTATTCTGTATGCTGCAACTCTATTTTCCAACCTGACAGAAAGAAAACCTAATTATTCAACCACTTTGTAACATCATAAAAAACCCTGAGAGCTTGAAACACACAGCTCCCCAGCAACACAGCAGATCAGCATCATGTGACAGCAGCAGACACAGCTGCCCAGCATTCCCACCTCCCACATTCAGACCAGAGCCTTGGCAATGTCTGCAGACACTATCCAGAATCATTTCAGCTGTACAGATACTCTTAATTCTCACATTTCTCAACTCTGAGACTGTAGAGTCAAGCATGCAGTCGTTTTTCAGTGTACTTTTTCCCCTATGACTGGTAGTTGATTTTTCCCCCCAAAAGTCAAATGAACAGGAATCCCATCATGTGGCTTCACATTGCAATCCATATGATTATAGTCAAGCTGGTACGCTCTGGGCAACAAAATAACTAACTTCACCAGTAGGTAATTATTCTCTGCACAGAGCAGCACAAATGCAGGAAATCACATACATACACACATGGGTGTGCTCCCATCCCCAACAATGTTGAGGAATGTCTGTACAGCCACAGGACTTCTGCCTTATTCCCCTCCTCCCCCAGCAAAATTTTCCCAGTCTGACAACTCTTTCCATACCATTTGGGCTCCCATCCAAGTTCTATTCCTCTTTTATCCTAAAACTTCAACCCTGGATATCCTGATCCTAATAGCTACCATTTATTTACAGCCTGGGCCCAGGCCACCTCTCCCATTTCAAACCTTCCCTCTTCACCCCAGTGCCCTAAACCACATACTTCTAATTCTGCCCCCATTCCACTTTGGTTCCTTATCCACGGTGCCTTGCCCAACCAATTCCCCTTCACCTACTGCATTCTGATTCTCACTCCCCTTTCTCATCTCTCTGTGTTAAGTGTTTCCAGTTACACAGCACCTCTCAGTCCCTTCCCCGCTTCTCTTTTCATTCTCCTAACATCTCAATACTTCTCTTGGTCTATTTCTTCTCTTTCCCTCATCCAAGCTTCATCTCCCACACATGTTAACTGTTCATCTTCTCCATGTAGGTCCCCCACAGCAGCCGAAAAGCATCAAGAGCACATGAAGCAGGTTCCCTGTATAGCACTACTGTCCGGTTCAGCCTGCACCAAGAAGGCTCAGAACTGCAACTCCAAAAGTTAGCCTGGGTTTACCCTCTGGTTCTGGAGGCCTTCATACAGTCTCTGCAGAAACTGTACATTCACAAGCCAGCCAAAAATAGTAGCCACAAGGGGATGAACATATGCATGATCTAGTCATTGCTAGGACCTGGGACATCAGAGCATTTCTAGAACAAAGAATATTCTTAAGAGAGTAATCTCAATATGTGCCTGCTGTGTTTTTTCAAAAGCTCAATCTTGGCAAAACTGACGACTATTTTTACAGAGCAGGAAAACACACGCTACTGGTCATAAAGGCCATTCCTTGTCAAAGTCCTAATCTCTGTTCCAACAGTAACAGGGCAATGAGTGCTCTTGAAGAAAAGGTCAGAACTATTTTTAAACACTATAGAACTTAAAGCTTCCTTCTCAAATGTTTTTGGCGGGACTGTTTCCAAAACTATTTACATTGCTTAAATTTAATTTTCTACATAAATGTATTACACATGTGAACTATTAAAACACTACCAAGGTAAAGTCTAATTGACAGATTTATGTATTTAGTCTCTTAACAGTTAAAAATGGTAATGCAGCTTTATATTTTACCTTCTACACAAATAAATTTGTTTCTCCATTCAATACCATCAGGTCTTGGAATAGCTTTGGCCTCACGAATGGAAATCATCTGATGGCTCCAACTAGGGAAAAAGAAAACAATGTGCAGAACTTTCAACTCTTGATTCTAAATTAATAATGTCAGTTTACAGTAAAAGATTGTCAGATTGCTATGTCATAAGCCTGGATAACACAGTACTTTATAATAATGAATAATATAGTGTAACAGTCTAATCTTCATAATTCACTATGTAAGAGTAAGGAATGACAGGTAGGAAACAAGAGAATTGTCCACAAACAGAAGTTTATTTACAAAAACATCTGCAAAAACATCACATCTATCAGTAACATATATTCATGACAATTTTTTTTCAAAAAACAATGTCAACTTGAATATGGACACCTACATTTATTTCTAAGTTCAAAAGAAATTATAGTCTCAGATCTATCCTTCAGAGTTTTCTGTGGGGAGAAAAGGAACATAAGGAGCGTAAGTGCAGATGAAGTCACATACTGCATTCCATTAAAAAAATATTAAACAGTATAAAGATATATAAAGATATCTTGCTTATAGGCCTGCATTTCTGGTGCAAGAAACCTTTTATTAGAAAGCACTAACACTCCGTGTATGCTGAATTTTAGATCTCCTATAAGTGCAAAAACAGCACAACAACTCAAATATGTGTTTGAAGATATTCTACCACTTTCTGCACACATTTTTACAACAAAACCATAGGAAATGATGACACTGAATAGGAACAGCAGGCAGTTTACAGGGCAGCTTTATGATGTGCCAAGCATCTTTATGATCCTTATGATGCTTGGCACAACAATGTGCCAAACATGACGGAAGCCAAAGTAACCACTTGAAGTTTTATGTTCGTATCTACCCAACCAGTTTTCAGGTGCTCTTAAGTAAACAAGGGAACTGTATCAGCAAAACACCTGGACCACCAATGTGTCACCATACGCCTTGACTAAATGGGGTGTAGAAATAGCTAAGTAGTGTGCTGCTAGCTGTACTGGTGTTATATACACCTGACATGATCTCCTGACTGAATCAATCTTTTGATATAATGCAAAGAGAGAGGAGCTTGGCTGGGTGCATCAACCACCTGCAGTAAATCTGTAAATATCAACTGTAAATCAAAATACAGTCTATAATTCATCAGTTAAATCTGGAAGAACTCTGTGCTCCCTAGGCCACAGATAAGCTGTCATAATTCCATTAAGTCAGTGGTGATAAGACAGTTTATACCACCTAGAAATCCATGCCAGTAATTCTACAAATTATCTTGGGTACAACGCATGATTAAAACCACTCATGAAAGCCAGCTGTCTGAATAACCATTAGAACAAGTACATTATTCTTCTATTTAAGAATATGAATAGGGCCCATTTCAAAAAGGTGCAGGACACAGCATATGAAGCATAGTTTAGGATACCTCAGACTACTTATACACCCACTGCTGTGTATATTTAGATTTCTCTTGATATATTCTTTAGAAAATTAGTACAGGTCCTGATAATTTCTAGCATTCAATGCAAACTAAAGCTTTCATTCTAACCCATCACTCTCCCTCTCCTTAATTCCCATAGCAGACTACTTTTGCAAGTATTAGAGATATTGTGAAGTACCAAATACTTTTGTATCATGTCTTTTTAATAAACTACCATCAACACAAGCTTAACAAGAAATTAAGATAAATTTCTCAAAAAAAACCAAACCCCAAACCCCACAAAAAAGACAAAAGAGAAAAAGCATGTGACTAGAGCATCAAAGAAGCTTAAACTGCAGCTCCAGAACATTGGTCAAGAGTAGAAGCCGACAGTTCAACTCTTCTGCTTTTTCTAAAAGCTTATTTAAAAATCAGAGAGCACCAGGCCAGTGGGGAAAAAAAAAAAAACCAACCAGTCATGCAGCAAAGTATTTGATCTGTGTTTGGTTAAACCAGGCAGTATTGTTCCACTTCAAACATGTAATTCTTCTCTTGACTTCTTTTTCTCTAGGTTATACTTGGCTTGATTCCTCAGCAAAAAATAAATGTGTTTATAATACACTGGTTTAGCAAAAAGCAACAAAAAAGTGACATTTCTAGCTATTTAAACAGCTTTTTATTTAAACTTGAAAACAACTATTTTATCTAATAGTCTCATTAAACCTTCACTAACCCCACTTTGGTACCAAAATCAGCCTGAATTAGAAATGAATTACCAATAGCAGATGATTTGTGTATCAATTTTAACCATTTTGGCTTGCACACAATAACTTCATTATTGCCAACACAAAGGAAGTATTCTCCACATACACACTTTCAATCCATAAGTTAGTAATAACCATTTAAACAGCTATTTCAATTATCAGTTATTTCTGGTGTCACTGCCCACATTAGGTACGTGGCTCCTCATGGAGAAGCCAAGAATCTGAAAGAGTAGGCATTTCCAGGTGTGTGTACGAATATACTACAGATGCATTAAAAAGCTTATCTTTTCCAGAGCGTTCTTATAAGCCAAAGCCACTTGCATAAACACACTAAGGTGGGTACAAATTGCAAGCATATTTAATTCAATATACTAATAAAAAATCATCCCTTTATTACCTGAAGAATTCTACCCTGAAGAGAGCCGTAAGCAACTGTATTTTGTCACAATATGTATCCAATCTTTTATCATGTCCACCAAATACAACTTAATCAGTGAATTATCTTAAACAACTGCTACATAGCTTGGAACAATAAATATAAGAAGTACAGTCCCAAAGGACAATCTCTAGGTTCCCTAGCAGTAACTTCAGGGCGGCAAGGCCTTGCTTCAAGGTCTCACTTTGCAAAGAGACAGCCAAGTGAAAACCTGCTGCCTTCACTCACAGCTGCAGGAATGAAATCAGACACTCTCTTCAGAGGGCCTGGTAAACATGGACCAGTTTCCAAATACTTTCTTTTGAGAACACCTCCATACATTTTTACTTGGGTCACATTCACTGCGTGATCAGCAGACCTTTGATAGTTTGAAATACTTAACGTTAAAATGGAATTCTAAGCATACTTTTAGCCAGCTGTATCATGAGAAACATTATGCAGGCTTGAACTCTTATGGCATGTCAGCAAATCAAGCTTTGCTATATGTCCTGTGTAAATCCAATATATGCAGCAATTTCCAAATCACATTTCTGGTACGTTATGAATGGGGATAAAAATTACTTCTTATGGAGACACCGAAAATCCCAGACTAGCACTGTGGAATGGGCACTGTATAAATACATGGTAATCAGCAATTTTCTGAAACATCTTATAGTCTAAATAAACAAAGCAGATTAAAAGCATAAGGGAAAAAAATACAGCACAAGGAGATGAGCTTATTCACAGCTACACAGCATGCAAGGCTCCTGTTTCCTCCTTTGTGCTCTACTCTTTGGGCCCATCTTACCCTTAAATATTATTCACTACAAATAAAATACAACATAGATTTTTAACTGAAATACCTAGTAGCCTTTGCTAGACCAAGGGGGAAGTTTAACACAATGTATCTCCATCTTCCCTTCATCTTCCTGACCAATACATGTAAAATAGTTGATCAGTTAAGCATTCCAGGCAGGTGGCATCAACTACTCATTGTGTCCAAAATTATGATCTTCGCACATGATCTGATCATTCTTGACTGCATGCTGTTCTTTCAGCAAAACAGATCGGGTGTATCAAACCTGGTAGTGTTGTGTCCTATACCATAGATAGGAATCTTCAAAAGTCACTTTTATGAAAATTGTAGTAGTATTCTCCTTAGTAATCTTTTCAAACACATTACAGTTCAATAGTGAAATTTCACAGGCACAGTACAGGTCATTTAAATGTAACCTAACTTAATAGTCACAGTATCTGAAATATAACCTCAAAATTTCTGTGCATAAAACCACTAGTAAATGTTTTACAGGGAAAGCAAACACTGAAAAAAAAAAAAAGTACTGATTACAGCAATGGAAGTGTTCAACACATTCAGGAATAAAATACTAGTTCTTCCATGAAAGGCAGAACTAACAGTGTCTTCCTGTTGTGTGTATTTAATTCTTAGTGTCATTCCCACCTATAACATTGTTTCCATCAGCAACCTCAAAGCAAAGGTAACAAGTGTTGTGGATAGTGTGACACTTGTACCTGTTCTCAGTGGCTGGCTATCACATACACACACAAATGTTTAAACACCATGTTCTGTCCACCTTTTCCCCCACATGGGCATTAATTGGGTTTCTCTTCTCCAGCCAGTTACCAGGTTTTATGAAACTATACTGAATTTTAGTACCTTCAAGACACACACCCTACTCCCTTCAAAGAGGATTTATATTTGACAGTGATACAGAGATGGTCAAGTAAACAGTAAATCTAAGTTTTATTTCTGTAGCAGAAAGAGTTAAAAATAACATAGGTTGCTGTATTAGGCATGTCATTTCCTGATACGACTTCTCAGCTATGTAACATTTTCATGGAACTCTAATAGCTATTTTTTAGTGGTTTCAGGCTTGGGTTTTTTTGGTGGTGTCCCCCCCCTGCCGCTTTTTTTAACAGATTATCACCAGTCAAATGTTTACTTAACAGGCATTTAACACTGGAAAAACAAGCCAGATTTTTTTTTTTGGTAGGTTGGTTGTTTTTAAAAAATCTTTTCTTCCCTTGACATCAGCAACTGTCTTTGCCTCAGTCTTTAACAGCGAGACCAGTTAGACTCAGGGTACTCAGTCCCCTGAGCTGGAAGACAGGGACAGAGAGCAGAATATAGCCCCCATAATCCAGGGGGGAAGCAGCTAATGACCTGCTATGCCACCTGGACACTCACAAGTCTACGGGACCAGATGGGATCCATCCAAGAGTACTGAGGGAGCTGGCAGAGGAGCTTGCCAAGCGACCCTCCATCATTTATCAGCAGTCCTGGTCAACAGGGCAGGTCCCAGATGACTGGAGGCTTGCCAATGTGATGCCCATTTACAAGAAGGGTCAGAGGGAGGATCCAGGGAACTACAGGCCTGTCAGCCTGACCTCGGTACCGGCGAAGATTATGGAGCAATTCATCCTGACTGCGCGCACTTGGCGTGTGCAGGACAACCGGGTGATGAGCCCAGGCAGGATGGGTCCATGAAAGGCCGGTCCTGCTTGACCAACCTGATCTCCTTCTACGACCAGGTGACCCGCCTAGTGGATGAGGGGAAGGCTGTGGATGTTGTCTACCTCGTCAGCAAGGCCTTTGACACTGTCTCTCATGGCATACTCCTTGAGAGGCTGGCGGCTCATGGCTTAGACAAGTGTACTCTTGGCTGGGCAAGGCTGGATGGATGAGCCCAGAGGGTTGTGGTGAATGGAGGTAAATCCACTTGGCAGCTGGTCACAAGTGGTGCTGCCCAGGGCTCAGTTTTGGGGCAAGTTCTCTTTAACATCTTTATCAGTGATCTGGACAAAGGGATCGAGTGTACCCTCAGTAAGTTTGCAGATGACACCAAGTTGGGAGGGAGGGTTGATCTGCTTGAGGGCAGAAAGGCTCTACAGAGGGATCTGGACAGGCTGGACCAATGGGCCGAGGCCAACTGTGAGGTTCAACAAGGCCAAGGGCCGGGTCCTGCACTTGGGTCACAACAACCCCATGCAGTGCTACAGGCTTGGGGAAGAGTGGCTGGAAAGCTGCCCGGCAGAAAAAGACTTGCTGGTCGACAGCCGGCTGAATGTGAGCCAACAGTGTGCCCAGGTGGCCAAGAAGGCCAACGGCATCCTGGCCTGTATCAGAAATAGCGTGGCCAGCAGGAGCAGGGCAGTGATCTTCCCCCTGTACTGGGCACTGGTGAGGCCGCACCTCGAGTCCTGTGTTCAGTTTTGGGCCCCTCACTACAGGAAAGACATTGAGGTGCTGGAGCGTGTCCAGAGAAGGGCAACAAAGTTGGTGAGGGGCCTGGAGCACAAGTCTTATGAGGAGAGGCTGAGGGAGCTGGGGTTGTTTAGCCTGGAGAAGAGAAGGCTGAGGGGAGACCTTATTGCTCTGTACAACTACCTGAAAGGAGGTTGTAGTGAGGTGGGTACAGGTCTCTTCTGTCAAGTAACTAGTGATAGGATAAGAGGAAATGGCCTCAAGTTGTGGCAGGGAAGGTTTAGACTGGATATCAGAAAGAATTTCTTTACCGAAAGGGTTGTCAGGCATTGGAACAGGCTGCCCAGGGAAGTGGTGAAGTCACCATCCCTGGAGGTGTTCAAAAAACACGTAGACATGGCACCTCAGGACATGGTTTAGTGGGCATGATGGTGTTGGGTTGATGGTTGGACTTGATGATCTTAAAGGTCTTTTCCAACCTAAACGATTCTATGGATTACCTTCACTGTCCACTATTTCAAGCTTTGTTTTAACCAGAAGCTTCCCTGTACCTCTGTGATTAAATTTAGGTAACATTTTTTCCTCATGTATGATCGTCATGAAAAATAATATGCAGGGATTACCATCAATTCGAGTACTGATAATACAGCATTTTCAGTCTTCATACTCCCTAGTATATCCTGCATGTCTAAGAGCAAACAAAAAAGTCTTCCTGGACCAGCTACTGACTTATGTAGAAATCTGCTCTTGACCATGTTGACAAGCACCCAAACCAGAAAAGTCAAATTGGGTATTTTTCCTACATTTGGATGAGTTCTTCACTGCTAATTCGCACAGGCAAACCTGAAATTTTTTCCTTGGCGGAGAAGGTATTTACTTTCATGTATGAGAAGATTAACAGCTTGTTATACAGATAAGTACTAAAGCATGTATCTAGTGTCCCACAAATTGGGAACCTGAGGATATCCTCCAGCAGTATCTTCTAATTCACCTGTTTAGCAAACAGCACCTTGCCAGCTGAAAGGACAGATACTCAGGAGAAACTTTTAGGACAAGACACCATTCCCTTATCTGCAGAGATCATTGAAGGAAAATCCTTTATGTGAAAATCTCTCAGAATTAGGCTTAAGCATGCACAAAGGACAATTAGTTCATGAATTGCCACAGGCCATATGGATTTAGCTTACATATTCCACATGTGGTGCACACACCAGCAATTTTTCCTTTATGGATTTCGTGATTGTTCACTTCTTACACTGAAGTAAAATATGAACACTTCAAAAATTATAATGAGTATCCAGCAGTTAAACATTTTGTTCTCCTTCCAGGAAATGGATATGACATACACACACAGGACAGCAACACGTATGAACCAACTGCCTCAGAAACAAGTCCTTTAGAAGATCTTTAAGCTTTCTGAAATACAACCATTTGTATTTCACAGGGACAAGCACTTTTCCTAAGAAATTCTCGAGTGACAATTTGGCAAAATGTTCGTAATCTAGTTTTCTCAGATGTCCTCACAACTTTAGCTTCTCCTTCTCTTCTACAAGCAAGTCCAGATGCCAGAATGAAACTCAGATTCTAGGAAACTGACAAGGTTAGTGAACCAACTATATATGGGAGAATTCTTCACTAGATGTGGACTATATTGGTGTATATTATAGTCAAAGTAAGGAGCTACCTGGTCAGTTACCTCCATTGACTCGGGGTGACAGTGAAGGCAAGTGCCCCTATTGAGGTCCAAATAATTCACATCACAATCAATACCTTACAGTACAACTAAGAACAGATCTTTCTCACTCATGGCTAAGCAGTTACAGAATAGTGTAATATAACAAAACCCAGCTATTTTTAAAGGACACAGCTCTAACTTCCAGCAGCTATTTTACAGGATAGGATGCTTAGCTAAGCAAAAGATGCCAGACAGTCTTTATGAGCATTCCTGTTGTCCTTTAGTCTCTTCACCCATTTCCTCTCTGTCAGTTACCACTCCTGCATTAATGCTATTCTTTCTCTTCAAGTGTTATAAAGTGTTGATATGTTGAATAGAAGAAATCAAAGTTTTGCATACTCTGAAACACTAAGATGAGCTTATTACTTACTCAAATTCTGTGGCATAATACTTGAAGAAGCCTATTAGCAAATCCCCAAGGCTTGATCCATTTTTTGAGAGGTAAGGAGGAATGGTACATGGAGCTTGATGAACAAGATGCAACTGCATAGTAGGATCAAAAGATTCCTGTCAAAATAAAATCAGAGCGTATGTATATATACACACAGACCCTTAATCTAGGTGCATGTATTTTTCACAATAAAAAAAGTTGCCTATCATTTGCTTATTATAAGTTCAAGGACAACTTACAAGCAAAGGACTCTATTTCTCTTGTGCTTCTCTGCTTAATACTAGTTGCTCCCCCTGAACTCAGGTAGAATGATCTTGCACAGGAGCGTCCAAGACCACCCCTTGCCTTCTGTTTGCTAAAGAATTTTAACATGGGAGAATCTTTGAACTGGACTTCTGTTTACATGCTAGTGAAACCACAAGAACAGAAGCTGAGTAATGTAGCCTGCACTGAGCTGGCTGCAGCTGAACTGAGATAAGGTAGGTGAAGCTAATGGACTTATCACCAAGTTCCCGTAAGTGTGGTACAGAAACTGTCCAAAAGGAAGGCCTGACATTTTTCCCACAGCATAGAGTTAAAATTGCATATGCAACCCACTGGCTCTAATATGAACCTGCATCCTCCCACATCATGAGTTCAAAGACTGCAGCAGCACCTCCTCTAGCCAACCTATCTGAAAGAATAAAAAAAAAAAAGTTACACAAAAAGACTGAATACAGAATGCAGCAATTAAGCTGAAGTATGCTTTTCTTCAGTGAGGGGGAGAAAAAGTCAGGTTTGCTATAAAGAGAAATTACTATTGCCAGCTTAAAAAGGAATCTACACAAGACTAAATTAACGTGGTTTTAGATCTGCTATACTGTTTGGGTGTCCATTGCATCCTTTAGGTTCTTCTGAGAGACTGGGGTACATGGAGAAGAATATATCTTCTCTTGCTAGAGAAACAATTTTTAAAACCTGGTAATACCAGGATACTACATTTTAAAGTAATGTTTTTTATTTTAAGGAATATGAACCCAAGATACACAAGACCAAGCTTTACACTCAAAGAAATACATCTATGTAAATTTAAGGACCTATTCAGTCATTACTGTATCTCCCCTTCCACCCCACTCCTTTGTTATTTTAGAGTCCTATCAGGCATCACTCAACCTTTACAGTACTACAGAAGCATTATACACTGTAATACTATTTCCATGTTCACAGCCAGCAGCGCTTCCTTTGAAAAAGCATGGTTAGCGAGCAACCAGTAGGACTGAAAAGTCTGGGATGCCCATCCTCTTTTGCCAATTCTAGCAAAACTTCCCAGAACCTTGCGCAACACCTTCTGGAGAAAAAGGCCATTCTTCCAGCTATGAAAAATTTCAAGTCTTGTTCTCACATGATATACCTTTGCATATAAAATACTATCATAGTTAGCAGAGCTCAGAATTTAACAGCTTACAATCCAACAGAACACACCAAAAACATGGAGACAGACATAAAAAGCAAATATGCATCAGATAAAGATCTGAAAGGGGAACAGCTTTTCCTGTGTTATACAGTATATACAGTTTTAATCCCAAAGTTAATCAGACAGGTACTAGAGTGAAAGTCACTCCTTGCCCATGGCCACAAAGTTGTAGAAGTGTCACAACAAATGAATTTAGTATTAGCAGTACAACAACTCATGAGGAAACAGACACAGGGTGGGGTGGGGGTGGGAAAGGAACAAGGGCTGCTGACCTCCAAACAATACAAAACAGAAACACAATGAAATTACCACAACAGATGTCCACTAAGACTAGTAAGTACATGTTTGGAAGCAGCAGACATTTTGAAAAGGAGAACAAAATTTTTTTTTGTTTTTAATGTTCAAATGCCTGAACTCAACTGAAAGAAAAATCTGCCACTACAGTGAGGTTGGCATCCTGAGCAGCTGAAAAGTTAGACTTTGGGATATTATTTTTCAGAATAATAAGTAAGCTATTATCTTTAGCACTATTACAAGCTTAGAGAGGCTGTTGCTTTTTCTTATCAATCTTGACCTTAAGTACATTTTATTTACATTTTGTATATTGATCACGATTAATTAGTGTTCATACATCATTTGAATAACAAAAATAAATCAACAGTTATACTAGTAGCAAAAGTAGTATTTATCAAATACAGTTGTAGTAAAACTTATGGCAAAAGAGGAGAAAAAAACCCACATATTCTATACGAGTGCTCTAGTAAAAATGCAAGTTACAGTCTACAGCAGCTAATCATTAAAAAACCCAACCACCTAGTTTAAGAGACACATGTATAAATAACTCCCAACTCCACTTGCTTTAGGGGTTATACCACTATGAAAATGACTCTTAAAAAGACAGCGAAGTATTACAAAATAGAAAGCATGACTGAAGCTACTGTTCTAGAAGAAGAATTTTTTTTTACACTAACTAAAGCAAACTGTTAATCACGTTTCTGATACTGTCAGTCAACTTATTTTTTTAAACACTGTGAGTTGCTGATCACCACATGTAGAATTAAAAAAAGAAAAGGTTTCATCTTTCTGCAATACAGAAAATTTGTTATGGAAGAAATTGCTATTACCAGATTAGAATGTTTTACATGTAAAACCAAATCAATTATTACTTAAAATTGGGTATGGGGATGATTTAATGAAAGTGTCTGACAAGATATACCAATATTCAATATTATCAATAACCAACAATGTCTTTTGTTTAAGGTCATTTCTTAACAAAGTAATCACTCAGTGAACAAGACATCAGACCAGCCACAGGATACCTACGCTCATTTTTCTGCTTTGCCACAGACAGCCCATGAAAATCCATTAGCCTCAACCTGCCTCCATTCACCTATTGTAAAACAGGGATAACAGTACTTTTCTTCCTGCCAGAGGGACTCAGGGAATAACTAGATAAACAGAACAAGGTACAGCTTACAGATTCAGCACATAAGAGAGGTCGGTAATATAACAGAATTACAAAGCATCCTTCAAACTAGCTTAGTTTCAAGTAGGCCTTCCCTAGAAGGCAAAAAATTCAGCTTGTTTTAAAACTAGTCCCTAATTTGCTTGCTGGGTCTTTGCCTCATGCCATCTTAAGAAATGGAAAAGAAATTCAGGTTCTGATTGAGCAACAAATGTAAATGAACTACCCATTATTTCAAAATACCCCAGAAAAAGGGACCCCAAAGTCTTTTTTCTGTTTTGCTAGATCTCTAATCTTTACCTTGGCTGGCTTATTTCTCAAGAAAACATTAGCATTCAATAACATGCTTCATGTTCAAGTTACATAATGCTTACACATATTCTCATACCCCCTTACACACTGGAAAGGAACACAAGCATACGTCAAAAAAATCTTTACATTTGAATATCTTGATGTATGAGTTTAACTCTCTACAAGATTCTCCCTTCAAAAGAGTTTATAGCGGTAACATCAGCGTAGTATCTTGCCATTTTTGATAAGTATCTATATTCGCACACATATAAAATACCCTTGCCCAGTCTTACAAATGAACATTTAACTCATGTTTATACTTTTAAAAAGTGCAACTCTGAGTGAAGCAAATATGTCCATCCAGGGACTGACTCCTGTGCATGAAGGAGCTACAGTAAGCACCATCCCATCTTCTGCCCCACCTTTTGCAAGATATGACTGCTCATGAAGCTGAGGCAGCCGAAAAATTGCTCATGCTAGAGTCCATGAAGTTCACAACCCAGAGCACTAGTGGAGATACACCTCCATCTGGATTTAAGCTAATATGCCAGGCTGCTCTGGAACACTGGAGACTCAGGCACACATTCCTTTGACTCCCAGTTGCAGCAATGTTCACCTCTGGCAAACACACAGGCAAAACAACCAGAAGCCATAATGGCCTAAGCCACCACAGGTTCTCCAGAGCTCATCTGTAAAAGTCCTCACTTGGAGGCAAGTTCTAAACAGACTTCAGAACCAATCAGCACATTTTGTGGGCTACTCTCATCTACCCCATCTGGCTGGGGTGGCAGGAAGCCCCAGAATCCAACCCCACATCTGATACGGTCCAATACTCCCTCTGAACTAGTGGATGCAAAACACAACAGCTCGGTGCCAGCTGGAGACTCCCCCATGACAACAGAATGCACAGGTGGGCAGATCTGGTGGCTTTCCAGGACTTCTCACCCTTCACATCTGCAATAAGGGATACACTGAGTCACAGAATCTGCCTTTTGTTTCTTGGTCAAAGTAAGCACGTCTCTCTTACATGGCACCTACAATTTAAAACAGGCAGTTTCCTTCAAGTGCATAAGTATTTTCAAGCTGCAGAAAGAGCTGCAGATTTGATTTTGAAAAACTGTAGGTAGGGTGGTTTGTTTCAGAAGGGGAGCAGCAGTATTTATGCGTAGTATTGGGATGGAGACACAGCTTTGACCAGCATGAAAACCACAAGAGAAATATATGGTTCCCTTGGATACTGACATTTGCCCATGCTTTGTAATTACTACTGCAACTACAAGACCAGAATTGTTTTGGTGTTTTTTCTCATTTTCATTTTAAATTTCTTTGCAATATCAGTATTCAGAAGCTGTAATTTCACAATTTTTAAGTACTTAATTATATTCCTAATGGAGACAGTAGACCAAAAATATATTTGCCAACTTCTAGCATAATTTTTTTTTATCTTAACCCATAGTTTTGATTTGGTTTTATAGTAAGCATGTCTAAAATGCTCTTTTTATTTCATTAGCACTCCTAGAATATTTAGTCCATCCTCCAAAGGCAAGATAACCAACAAGAACAACAAAAAAATCTATGTTGAAACAGGGTAAAAAATGCTGTTCTTACAGCAGCATTCTAGAAACACAGGAACCTGCAAGTGATTTGCCAGTTTCACACGACACAAGATAAAACCCTACAAATCCATTAGATTTTTCAGCTTATGGTATTGTATACTTTTGCTTTAATCATTTAAGCCATTAATATCTGCAGTGCTCTGAAGGCCTTTACACAGTTCAAACACTACATATATAAGTGTTTGCATTATTACAAAGGAGTCAGAAGTTAGCAGTTCTTACAGTTGTTTTCTTTAAATTACATGCTACACAAAACTTAAAACACTATAGCATATGAGCTTTAAGCAAACATAATTAGCAAATTTTGCAATTCAAAAAACCCATTGGATAAAGCTAAGTGTACAAGAAATGAAAAACAGCTTTAAATGCTTTTGAGCATTAACAGTGAAGAAATTAGAAGGTATACAGTACAGTAAAAAAAAAAAAAATCAGAGGAAAAAAATAAAGACCATAAAAATTTAGCAGAGGTATGCCTAAGCAGGTTTACAAAATAGAAATAAAACTGCAGTGTACTATAGCTAAAAGCTTTCTTCTGCATCTCAGTTATCCTAATTACCCAAAATGGCTGACATCACAGTATTTTCTCCCTGATGTACAGTGTCATCAAATATTCCCATTTCAGCATTATAGAAAATATATGCAAAAGAAAGAATGGCTTTCTAATACTAACTCAGCACAATTATCAGCAACAGTAAAAAACCCCATACATAGACAAGGACACTGAACTACAGCAACTATGAATAAAGAAAAATTTAAGGAAGTGACATGTGAGAGGAAGGGTAAAGAAGAAAGAAAAGAATTGAAATATTTCTGTAAATAAACGATAGCATAGAACTATTAAGCAATAGCTTTTTTGTCCCCAGACAAATATTTAGGAGTGTAGCTGTTATTTCTAGGTAATCTTCCTTAGATTAAGTCTCACTAATTACAGTCCTAATTCTGCAGAGGATCATAGCACACCAATTCTCAGAATTCTCTGGAAATCAATAGAGTATGATCTGTACATAACAACAAAGGCCCCAAAAGGTGTTTTCTTGTTGGACTTAAGCCCAATTCTGTGAGGTCTCTCAAAAGTCTCCTTAGTAAACATCATTCACACTCTGCATCCAGAAATATCAGGCAACTCAACAGGTGTGGGAAGGTATGGAATTCTGAAACACCACAGGTGGATGGAAAAAACACTACAGAAAGTTACAGATGACACAGGGATATTTTCAGGCCAGCATAAAGAGAATTAGGTCAGCAGCTCTAATCAGCACTCATTTCCAACTGTGTGTGAAATTTTATAACAGACACTTTCAACTGAAGAAATGATCAAAAGCAGCAAATAACATTTTTAACACGTATGTTTAGCGTATCAATGACCAGGCTTACAGACTGTGTTTAACTTAATGCATTAGAGATATTTAAGAACTCATACATTTTAGATAAGCAGCTTAATACACATATATGATGTAGTAAATTTGTAAGAAACACTTACTGGGTAATTTTTTTGGAGGGATGGAAGGATGGGTTCAGGTAGGGCTATAAAAAAAAAAGTTTAAAGTTGCTGTGATTCATGTAATTCACGGGAAACAATTATCATATCAGCTACACCAAAGGGTTGGACTGATACTCCACCTTAAAACCATCTATCAAGAACTTCACTTTCATGCATTTTGTAAAATAAAAGTCATTCACAAATACTTCTATTACTATATTTTGTATATAATAGTATAAGGAGTTAATTCAGCTAAGGGAAGCTATTACTAAGATACTACTATTTGTAGAAGACATGAAAAATTCTACAGCAGCTGGGTACAACTTCACTTTTAAAATTCATGTTAATTCATGGCTATAAGAAACTCATCTAAGATTCCCTAAAGGAAAAGTCAGAGCTTTACTCTTTTTTTTCTTCCTACATCTAATACCACATGATTCTATCACAGCAAAGGAAGTCTCCAGATACTGCAAAAGTACATATTCTTCAGCTGCAAAGTATTACATACTGAGTCTCCAAAAGTAACCTAAAGATAAAATGCCCAACACACTTAGTAGGCATTGCTAGAAAAATCTCCATAAAATACATAAATACAGCCTCATGCTGTTAGCTGGTCTACTAAATGGCAAAGAGATTATCAAGATCATGTAGACATTAATGATAACTAACAAACACAAAATTAACTAAACAATTGTAACTTTTATGAAAGTCATGGATGGGGAGAGCATCCATTGCATAATAAAAATAACAGGGGAAAAAACTTATCTCCAAGGTTAGGTGGTCCTACAGATAGACAGAAAGAAATCCCAAAGCATTCACATCCCACTCAAGCCTTAAAGCAGCTACATAACTGTTAGAGCACTCCACTACTTTAACACCACATAGAGCACACCTTTAACATCAGGTCTTCAGCATATTTTTTTAAACTATTCGTCTACATCATTCACTAGGGAGAATGATAACTAAGTTCAGCACACAGGACTTTGACTTGGGACTGAATTCACCCTTCAGACAAGGTGTCACAGGGGAAGAGATGTTACAGAATCGTTTTTCCTTAGGGACTAATAATCAGAACAGCAGAATTCTCAGAACTGGGATATCTTCAAAGAGTATACTATATCAACTAGCAGGCCTGCTAAGAATATGATCATAGCTGCTTTAACAATATTCTTTTGTTTGTGGGTGTTTGGAAATATGCAAGAGCATCTTATTTCTGCAGCATCTTGGACAATTTCCAGTTCTCTGCCACACTAAAGTAAAAGGGAATGAAGTCTGAGCAATACAAGCAATCAAGATATTTTATCTGTGTCTGTATGCTATACTAAGAGGATGGAGTTAAGGGGAAAAGTTACCACTTACAACTAACATTTGCCACATGAGTTTTCCTTTTCTTACGGTACAAGATAGATGGACCTCTTACCTGGAGGAAAGTTCATGTACAAGACCCTGATGTATCTACAAAATAAACTCAAGCCACCCTAACCTTAGGTGCAAAGACATCCAAAAGAATCTAAGAATATGGAAATGGATTAAGTAGTGAAGGAAATAAATTTGCCTAGTGAAGACAGAAACACTATCTACTGCAAAAGAAAGCTTTTGTTTTTATTTTTTCCCTTCCTCTGTAACACCAACAAAAGCTCTGTTAGAAATTCTATGACTAGGACACAAGCTACTTTCAGTAGCATCACATGCATGTAGCAGAAGTGGGAAAAAAAAGGTTAAAATCTGCACGAAGAAAACATCAGAATCCAAACAGCTAGTGCAAGATCTTTGTCCAGAGCCACAGTTCAGCCTTTTTTAGCAGAAAAGGCTGATGAAGCAAGGCAAAAGGCTCCTCTTTGGTTTGTAGACTGCTGATCCTTCCTAGGCAGCTAACTGATCAGTTCTGCATGAAAAGGATTATTTGAACTTTTTTACCCCTTCCCTAGACAGCTGTGGCAGCTGCCACAAATGACTACAGCAAATGCCCTCATGCTTGCAGGGTTGTTAACATTCTGGCAAGCCTATGCATTTACACTTCCTTGTAAGTCCTACTCTCTTCCCTTTTGTGCATTAGTTTCATGCACAGATCAGTAATTGGCTATCCATGACTGCACACAGCACCCAATACAAGTCTCTGGAGTAACTGTAATACAATGAAAATGATTTCAAGAATAAATTTCCAAGTGAAAAGGCCTTTTTCCATTAAAAGTGTAACATTAACTATCAAGTGCTTATCAAGTCACTGTTAAGATGGTCACTAATTTCTGGACCACGTAAAGATACATTTTCTCCTCTCCTGCTTGCACTTCACCTTTGCATAGCAATGTTCACATCCAGTAGCTCCCAGCATTTTCAATCTTGTATCTAATAATCACTTTGGCATTTTTAAGTTGTCATTTCATCTCCTCCAAATCAACGTCTGTTTAACCATTATGGTTTTTTTTCCTGGTGTGTATTAAGGATCCACATTGAAGTACTCTGTCACCTACAGTATGGTTTCAGAGCTGTGACAACAGACTTGGCTGCCTTTTCTTCTCTTTCCACAGAAACAAAGAAATCTGTGGAATGCCAAAACAGTAGATGTAGAGGAAAAAAACACAGTCACTGGATAGACTACCCTACATCCTACTGTCCTCACGATTGGTACATTAACAACAAGCACACAGTATGGGCATCAAAGAATTCAAGTAACCCAGCCAGCTGGATCCCAAACACACAAAACACCCTCCTAGGTCCTCTACTACACATACTGTTCAGCTGAAAGCAAGCCACCAGCTTGAGTCAACTATCATAAAAAGCTTTCCACCCTAGTACAGAGTCCATGTAGCGTGATCTTGAAACTAATAAATAGTTGGCTATCCATGCAACAGCAAGTATCTACATTCCAGGCCAAACAAGCTGTCAGAGGAGCTAAACATTGTTTCTACCTGATTTAAAAAAAAAATTAAAACCTACACAGAGTGACAAAGAAGAAAAGTCTAAAATGAGAGCCTATGCAATTTGTCCACAGATATGATCATAAAATGTTAAAACCCAGTTGTCATTAAACTAACATGAACAAGAATAATCAGCACATTACAAAAAAAATTAAAGAGGTAGAATGAATACAAGCAGCAAAATACACAGTCTATACATGAATTGACAAGAACTAAGAAAATACTTCTACAGAGATGTCACTCCCCAACATGTACACTTCAGGGGTTCCTTGTGTTCCTTTCTGAAGCCACTTGGCTCCCAATAACCAACGAAGAAACTCATACTGAGCTAAATGATTTCTTAAATGATTCCTTAAATCTTAAGCAAGAATTGCAAACTACAAAAATCACAAACATGGACTTTCTCTAAAGAAAGAAAGAAACGGGAGATAAGCTCATTTCAATCCATTTCTCAAAACCATTTCTGGACTGCATGGGTTTCTTGAATTCTCAACAGGGATCCCTAGTTTCTCAGGTAAAACTCTCTAGCTCCATAGAGTTCAATGTTTCAATATACCGAAGTCACAAGAAAAGCTACTGCCACTGGCAGTCAAATATTCCAACTTCTAATGGTCTTAAACATCTGCCACCTTACAGGACATGGTAATTAGTGGAAAAGTCTAACCACATGGTAGTACATTCTTGCATATACATGTGCCTCATGTTCAGTCCTTTGCAAAAAATGACCCCACAGCACTTCTTGCCCCTCTGAATTTTCTTGGCAGTTCCCAAGTTTAAAAACAAAACAAAACAAAACACCCAAACAAAACCACACCAACCTGCCCCCCCCCCCGCCGAAATGGTTATGTTTAGGTTATTCCCTTTGTGAAAAGGCAGATTTTTGTTAACTTGCGCTTGAGTTTATTTTATAGTTACGCTGTGTCCTGCAAGTACATTGATTTTTTTATTTTTTTTTTACACCTTTTTAAAGCTGATAACTCTGCCTCCAGAGAAGAGGTCCACTAGTTAAAGAGAAATGCAGCACTAACCCGCTAAGGAAACAGAGTAAACCCACTTTATTTTCAGATTTTTCTGTGTGGAAGATAACTCCTGCTGGTGTTTAATTTTATTAAAGAGGAAAACTACACAGATCTGTACTTAAAAGGGACAGTTTCAACACATCAAAAAAAGTACTTACTCTGTAAATAGTGCAAAACCATCAACACAAGTGTATAGCTGCTTAAAGTACCACGACTGGCATCATTTAGTTCATGAAAACTTGCCCACTTCTTAACAACAAGTACTAATGGACGAACTCGATTCTCAACTGCAAGTAAAATAAATACATCTGAAAAAAAAGCAAATTTAACTGGACAGCAATCAATCAACATTTGCTCCTACTTGATCAACATGATACTCTTGTATTCTAAGGTTACCTTTTGCAACCATTTTATAGCGTTTACTTAGTCATTCTACAACTATTCTCCATCTTATAAAAATCAGAAAAAAATACTTGCATTTGAAAACAGTTTTTTGAGTAGTTAAGATCCACAGACACATTACAAGGGGTATGCCAGGTAACTTGCAGATAAGACAAGACTGGATTCATCAGTCACTGTAGCAGTGTCACATTCCACTTTTAAGTTCTCTCCAGTTCACTGTACTAATTTTCCCTGAATTAACTTGCTGCCATGACAGACCACTTCTTGTTTGTTTTTCAGTTTAGGTTATATAAACTTTGAGGGCAGAGAAAAGAATTCTCCTGGTTGGAGGACACAGAGCTTATTCGTAAGTTTTCCTCAAGATCCATGAAAGCAGCAACCCCTGCATACAAACATTAATTTTAAATCTGCCTTGTCCTCATTGGCTTTTTATGTAGATGAGATGTTAGATACAATATCTCATTAAATCAAGACACATGCATTTCATGAGGAAAGACATAAATACAGTCTTATTCTCGGTATGATCTTCTGAATTTCTAGGGAATACAGATAGTCTTCTAATTAAGGTAGTAATCTGTTGTAGGGAGATATCACTCACCACCACCACAGGACCTTGCAGCATACTTAATTTATTATTTGCAGATACATGGAAGCAGAACATCAGCTCAGTCAAGTGCCTTATGATGGCCTTACAATGCCTTATAAGTTCTTCTGTATCTTTTCTAACCTGACATCACTGTGCAAAGTTTTGTATTCTGTACATCAGGACAGGAATATATCAATAGGTAATCACTTCATCCGGGACAACAGACATGCTACAACAGCACCAGTAGGGGTGCTCTCTTATTCTGAAAATCCTACCAAGCATGTGATTTTCTCACTACCTCTCCACACTGGTTCAGCACACATGACCCCGTCAGTGGCACTCTTCTTCTCAGAATGAATGTCCTAGATCTGGAAGACCTTTTAGAAACAACAAAACTCCTTACCACCAGTCACCTAATTCCTGACATTATTCACCAGTGGTTGAACTAAAAAAATATGACTATTAGTACACTAACTGTGAGATGCAGAAGAATTCCTGTACTGACATCATATGAGCATGCATTAACTGAAATAGGATTTTTCCATGAAAGAAAAATGCAGACAGGCTCAAATTCCAAACAGGACTCTTTTGCACTGTAGAAAAGATCTCTTTTTAATTGACCTTATTCTGAGATAAGATCTTCTGTCTGCTAGTGCTAGTAATTAGTATATAAAAAAGTTAGCATGCAACATGGCCAATAAAGGGGAAATCCATGGTAGAAGCTAGGAACAACTATATTAACATTAGACTTGGTGATGTGACCCCTCGCCTTGCATACCTGTATGCAAGAACTGAAGAAGGTGGTAAGGGAAGAACTGCCAGTGGCCTAGAAGAATTAGCACGAAGTCCACTCCTTTTGTATTTATCTGCCAAATGACATTGTGATGCTAAGTAAGAAAACCCTAGTTTAGCACCAAGTACTGTTCTTATTACTTCCCCTTCAGAAGTCTGTTTCACAATCTTTCCCCAAAATGCAAACTCCTGAGGAGACAAACACCAGTTTTGTTTTGGGGTTGGTATAAGAATGGAAACAGTATTTTGGATTTTCCAAGGAAAGACTCTGTAACAGCATACAGACACAGCTAGCTATCAGCTACACGTCCTATCAGTGGCTGAAAGGAAATAAAAGAAACTGGAGGTTATACCACTAGATAATCATTAGTATAACGATCTCGTTATCTGCAGAATACTGAAGCAGCCCTTGTAGTAAACATGTGGACCTTAATACAAAGAATCTTTATCTTCTGAATATTATAATATTCAATTAAAAACATACCTAGCTGATATATCAGTTTTCTGCATATATTTAGAGTGAGCAACAAGAACTTATCTTAAAGCTATCTAATGCAGCTAATTAGGTATACATATAGTAACCTGATATATTCAACTGAATTTTAATAGTCTGTCAATATCAAAATACAAATTCAAAAAGCAAATTTTATAGAAATAAGAAAATACATTAAAAACTTACTGTATGCATAGGTTCTCAGAAGGAATGTATTCCTTATTCCTACAACATTGTTTACATTCAAGTCAAACTCCACACAGCTATTGGGGAGGAGAAAAGAAAAAGAATGAAGCATCATGGTATTCAATTTCAGAATATTTACTGCCTACTTGGTAACAGAGGTGGAGAAATGTAACTTTAAGATAATACTTTAGAAACTTTCTTCAAAAAGAATTTTGATGCTGTGATTTCTGCTCTGGTTTTGTTTATAGTACCTGAATTGCTTATAGATTTGAATTCCATTGTTACAAAAATGTAATCGTTGTTTTACATAGAGAATACATGTACATCCAGATTTAGACCTTATGACAATTTAACACACAACTTATTTTTTATTTTTAAGAAATCTTTCTCCAAACTAGACTCACGCTACATGATTTACTATGGATAACTTTTGATGCCAAGGAGGATTCTCTGAGGTATTAGTTTTGGAAATCATGCCAATGAACTGAGAAGGAGAATTGGAACAGATCAAAAAGTTAAGAATCTCTTTTCTGCAGCGATGGTCAGAGATAATCAGCAAGCGCTTTGAAATGAAAACTGCTTATAAATAAACATTACATGTTTTGTGATAAAACAGTTTTAATAACTGTTTCATGCTGTTAACAGCAAATAACAACACAGCAAACAAGCACTACCTGCTTTATTTATATCACACCCCATCCCAAAGTCTGAATTTCATATTGCATAGAGAGCTTAACTACTCACAGTACTCAATAAATGATATTAAATTCGTAGCCAATAAGCTATGGCAACACCATAACTTGCAACAGGAAGAGCCTCTTACTGACAAAGAAGTAGGTATCTGCAATGTACAGCTACTTCCATTTTATATATCCAAGTCTAATTCACATAGCATTTGTTTGCCTGAATATTCCTTTGGATTTTCTTGAATTGTTGTAAGGGGAGCACGGACCTGGAATTTATTAAACTGGATAAAACACATTAATTTGATGCCTACAAAAGGTTTTTGACATCATTAACTACATTAAAACATTCTTTACATCAGAAATGTTACATAATTTCAAACCAGAATTAATATCAAGCCTATGTTTTAAGAGCATAGTACATAATAGTACAGGAAATTACAAGCTTGGGCTACTGCTTGACAGTTGTAAAAATAAGCATAAACACCAGTAAGAATATTAGTTGTATGAGCAAATATAATAAATAAATGTTAGGCTGCATGTGCAATTCCAATTAACTCCAACTGACAAGATTACTATTTACCATATGCTGATTAAGCAAGTTCTATTGCCGTTATTTTGTACTTTAATATGCACATTTAATAGATGTAGCAATTATGGCAAGTGAAAAAGGTTTTGTACTGTTGGGACTCAAGTCCTACTGAAAGCACTAAAGATGAGGAAGAGTCAACTGCACATCAAATGTAGCAGAAGAGGAAGCTTTTGCATCCTCTGTAGTACAGAAATCTTTTTAATTAATCAAAGGCTTGTCTGGTAGCAGAGCCAGCATTGGAATTATTTCCTGGGAAAGACTACAAAACCAAATAGATAGTAAGTCTTTACATGCAATGGATCTTCCCTTACTGTTATAGCACTAAAAACCCCTTTAAGATGAAAAAGGAGAACAAACACCATCTGAATGCTTTCTCATTCACCAAATCAAAGTAAGTGGGAAACGGCAATTTTCAGGTATAATATGGACCATTGGCAACACATTAGAATGCAGATGCAGAGATACCACACACTGAATTCTACCATCTTCTCCCAGCAGCTGGGCATCAAGAAAACTAGCTTTCACAGGAAGCTTGTCATGTTTAGTTTCTGGTTTTGGCTAAAATAAGCTTAGTGACCTGGGTACAGAACATTCAATCCATTTTTCAAGACCTCTGAAAAAACGAATGAATGTGCATTTATGTATATGTATAAGCCTATGAAAGACAGAAGCTGATAAGAGATTGGAAGAAGACAGATGCTTAAATGAAGAGACAAAATATGGGTGGAGGTGACAGGTTACATAAGAGAAAGATAACTGGAAAGAGAAAAAAAACAAAAAAACCCCCAAACCAAAACAAACCAAAACAAAGCAACCCAAAGTCATGTCATTCCCTGCCATTCCCTTCTTCCAGAAAAAGAACACAGGAAACCAGATGGTGAACAGAACTGTTTTTTCCTCTGAAAAATGTAATAGGCAGCTTCTAGTCTAAGAAGATTATACTTTTATTTAGTAGGAAATAAAGAATTCTTTAATCCCTGTCTGTGAGGTATATGAATATTATGATGGTTACTTTTTTTTGCAAGTGACCGTGGTACGGACTATAAATGCCTACAAAAAGACTTCAATCTTCTGACATAATCACTTCCATACTTAAGGGTTCTTTTTAAAGTTTATTTTCTGATTTTAAATTGGAAAAAGAATTTTTGCTATAACCCCATAATTTATTCAATATTTGTACCAGGAATTCAACATTTTGTGTATCTATGAAAAGACTACCATTGTTATATGTAGCTAAGCCATATAACTCCAGTCTTAGCTTGACAAGTTTAATGCTTTCAGATAGCATGGGAGAAAAAACCTTCTGTACTGTTAGCGGAGAAAGTTAATAGATAAAAATTATTCAAATTTTTAAAAGGCAAGGAAGTGTGCAGAAGTAAATATGGGATTAGGTGTAAATGATAAAAGTATGAAGCAAAAACCCTAACAAGTGTTATATAATCTCAGATGCAAGAAAAGCTCAAATGGATGACATTTATTAGTTCAAATTGTAAATATGACAGATTCAGTTTTATCACAGCAGGGTTTCTGCCTGATAAAGGTATATTGTGATAAAAGCATATTGTGATATGCCTTTATAAAGAGAGGCCACAGAAGTAGGCTTATTTGTTTTTAAAAGACAGAGACAGGGCTGCAAAATTTTACAAGGATATAGGCAGGATAAGATACTTAAATACAAGACAGTTGTTCAAAGTCCTATTTACAAAGAATAGGCAAACTATGTTATTACATGAATGTGTGTCCTGGCTTTGGCTGGGATAGAGTTAATTTTCTTTCTAGTAGCTGGTATTGTGTTATGTTTTGGATTTAGTATGAGAACAATGTTGATAACACACTGATGTTTTCAGTTGTTCCTAAGTAGTGCTAAGTCAAGGATTTTTCAGCTTCTCACGCCCAGCCAGCAAGAAGGCTGGAGGGGCACAAGAAGATGGGAGGGGACACAGCCAGGGCAGCTGACCCAAACTGGCCAGAGGGGTATTCCATACCATGTGACATCATGTCCAGTATATAAACTGGGGGGAGTTGGCCTTGGGGGCGGATCACTGCTTGGGAACTAACTGGGCATCAGTCAGCGATTGGTAAACAATTGCATTGTGCATCACTTGTTTTGTATATTCCAATTCTTTTATTATTATTGTCATTTATTATTGTTATCATTACCATTATTATTTTCTTCCTTTCTGTCCTATTAAACTGTTCTAATCTTCAACCCACGAGTTTTTCTTTTTTTTCCCCTGATTCTCTCCCCCATCCCACTGGGTCAGGGGGAAGTGAGCAAGTGGCTGCGTGGTGCTTAGTTGCTGCCTGGGGTTAAACCATGGCAGTGATATACTGCTACTGATTCACACCACAGAAACTGAACAGCATCTCAACCACAAGAGGTCTGTCAGGCCATCAGGGAAGTAAGCTGACTGCGACTGCACACTAGCTGTACAAATTTGCAATAGAACCATAGCAGGACACAAATATACAAAGCATGACTTCAATGGGACTACTCATATGGACAGTACATATATAGAGTACTTTCTTGTGTCAGTCTGAAAAATTATATTGAACAGAATACTTGCCTGACTTTATCCCTGAACTTCACTATTGGCACTTTTGCTCGAATCAGCTGAGGTCGCTCAATGTAGCTTGCTGAAAGGGAGAAAAATATCCAATTAAGTTTCATATAAGATGCCGATCTTAAAAAAAAAAAAACAAACCACAAACCAACAACAAAACAAAACCCCCAAAACCTAAAGTGGAGTCCTATTGACTGATTTATAGCAAACAGTAACTTATAAAATTTAGCAAAAATATTTGCGGGGGGGGGGGGGGGCGAAATGCACTAGACATCAGAGAAAAACATTAGTGGAAGATTTTCTGTGGGAAGTATATTCAAGAAATTTGAGCATAAGGAATGCAGTTCTATAATGCTTTCACTGAGCAGTACTTGTAAGAGAAATCCTGAATAGTTATAATTAAGGGTCAAAAAGAGGAGAGCAAGAACATATCCATCCAGGATGGCCAGACACTTAAGTCCAGCACTACATTGTAGCAACGGACACACGATTAGCCACGTACTTTTAAATCGTGTCTAGTTTGCTTACAGTTGAAATCAATATTTTCTGATCAGTAAAATAAATAACATAACTGTGTCTTCACTATGCACTGATTATGCTTAAAACTTCCCTTAGAAAATGTTTATTTGACTAAGGTACATACCAAGAAACACATTTCCTGTTGAATTGTTAGAGAAAACAGGACAACACTTTCCATCAAAGATTGGGTAAGCTTTACCTGCCTTTTGTTTTAATGGTGATAGGACATGCAATAAATATACAGTCACAGGACTGCACCTCAGGTGACTACCTACAAGGTATAGACACATAGGCTCAATGCCAGACCACCAGACCCCAAACATACTAAGCTCTGCCAGACTCACACAGTGCCAGCAAATGCACGTTTGCACTCAGGTCCCCCAAACTGTTGCATGAGTCATATTATCTGCGATTTCCCTACTCTTGATGATATCTCAGGCTATATTTAGTAGTTGCCCATAATCCTTAGTGAGAAATGCACCCAAGAAAGTAATGGAAAAGACAAAGAAAAGCAGAACCTGTAGGTTACAGGATATGAGTTTGGGCAAAAGGCACGATTTTAGTAATTTCTTCTGTTGCAAAATCTAGGACTACTTGAATTTGCCCATATCTAACATCATACATTTTCCCCTTGCTTCTATAAATCAATCTCAAATTAGCATAAATAAGTATGACATAGCTAGAAATAATGCAAACTAACCTTAAATAAAAGCTGTTCTTCACTTTACGGGGGGCAGGGCAGGAAGTGCGGGGAAGCTATTTCTATAGTTTGGATAGAAACCTTGACTAAACAGTGTCATCTCCATTGCATTTGGATGACAATTTCAGGTTTGATAAAACCCTACTGTGCAATATTCAATTAAAACAAATTTCTTTTGAAACTTTCTGAAAGCGTTCTATGGATACACATGTTTAGACAGATTCAACCTGAGGTAATCCTTTATCTGGATTTAAAGGCATTGTATGATCCTAAGTAACCCACGGAGTGGCACTCAAAAAGATATAATCTTATTAACTTACTAATGTTAAAGGAAGCATCTTACAGAACTCAAATCCACGTTCACTGAACATACAATCTAGTACAACTTACACAGGAGTCCCCTCTTTCCAGCTGCACCTACAGACACATCCAAGCATCCCTCCTCCAACATCCCAGAATGTTCTTACAGTGAAGCTATAAAGCATGTAGACCTCTCTGCCTCCTTTCCTTTCACTACCAAATTTAAGACAAATATGCCCAACGCATTAGCACATGGTACACAATGGTAGGTATCTATCTGCATGCCACAGCAATTCAACTTTTCTCACTATGACCTTTCTCAAGTGCCCTTCAGAAGTTAACTGAACTCATTCTAGGGCCAATCCATTTCCAAACACATCCTTGTCTGCAAATGCCTCCCAACACTTCATGGATGCTTGTGCCAAATTAGCTGGCTAAGAAAAAAAATAAAATCCCCAAACATAATCCCAATGTGCTTCCCAAGGTGAAACAAAGCAAAGAGGATGTTAGAAGGCAGTAACTTGCTGCTGGTACCCTCTTTCTTGGCTCACACCAATGACACTGTTAGCAGAATCCCTATTATACATTAGATTGTTTCTTCCCTTGTATGTATAAGTCACAAACACAGGATGTGGAATACTGAAATACATACAGGTTGAGTAAGTGCCTCAGTAACCTGACTATCTGACCTTGAAGCTATGACTAGAGCGGCTATACCAAAATACATGTGAAGAATTCCACAAAGCTGCTCCACAGTTTTGGGCATGTCTATGAAAGAGTCACAAATGCCACTTCAGCTGTTGTGAAAAAGAATATAACCACTTCAAAGAAGACTAAGCACTGTTTCATAAATAACTTATTCATGCAGAATTTCACATTAAACAGCGTTAAGTCTCTCTTTTCTTTTACAGAATAAACAATTAAGCAATTGTACAAAATATTAATCCCAAACATAATATATGCCAAAAAGATCTTTGGCATCCTGCACACGCAGCCTGCTTTCATTGATAGGCTTACACTACAGAAGTCTGAATCCAGAGTTATAAAGAATCTAGGAGGGCACAACACAGCACAGGATGAATTAATTGTTGATCTCCATAGTCCTTCATGGTCATTCAAGTTCAAGTTCCCTTGCTTGTCCTAGCTGTTGCACATTCCCCACAAGAAAACTGTTAGGCAGATTCCACTCTGATAGCCTAGTCTCAACACTACTGCACCTCTTTATATAAGAGAAAATGAGCTCTTCGTTATTTATTCAGATAGTAAACACCAGCCAACCCAGTACTGCTAAGTTGTTTTTCAAATGAGTCCTGCTGAGACGAATCCAAAGAGACTAATCAGTTTGATATTTACTCTCAGTGGTTTGGATTATACTCTCTTCAATACATTGTAACATGAATTTGGGGTGAAAACTGTTTCACATTTCTAAAAGACATTGACTTGAGCGTACAGTTCTGGGAATGTTAGCCAATATTGTCAGAAATAGATATGTGCAGGTGTCTGAACAAATAAGTCAAAGTTACACGTACTCTGCTAGTCTTTGAAACAGAAGATGTATTACTGCTATCCTTACATCTCCCAGCTCTAGAAGAAAGACAATGCATACCTTTAAGACCTACTTCACTCTGTGACTATTCAAAAAAAGAACACATCTTCATTTCAAGCAGTATTCTAGATGCAGAATGACAACACAGAAAAGCCTATTCTCTAAGACTTTAAATCTGATGGGCTCAAATTCCTTGCTCACACTTGTTACCTTTTGCAAGCCTGAAACTGAAGCTGTAGCTTAGATAAATTTTGAATCTACTTCCCAAACCTCCTAGAATGAAACACTAATCTACCAACCACAGTTATCTGTATACAAAGGATAGAAGAGATGGCACGTACAAGTTCTGAAGGTGATTTACCTTAAAGAAAGACAAATTGTGAAAGACACTGAACTAATCTGTACTTGCAATACTTCCTAATTTATCAATCATGGAATTAAGGTGAAACAAACAGAGAATCACACTCTTCTTATGGCCCTTATTTTGAAATGTACAGGAACATCACAGAGTGCAAGAACAAATAGGAAGATGTTAGGAGAGGCACAGCTACAAAAAACCTCTCCCAAGTTTCTGAAGTGATCTGTAAAAAGGTTAAAAAAAGCTCTAGAACATTACCCATGCCATAATCTCCTCCTCATTTCTTGTTGTCTTTCAACTCTTCCACAAAACCAGCCCAAGAACTTTGTTTTAAATAACATCCTTCCTCCCCCTTCTTGCTTCCCTTACATCTTAGAACATACTTTGCTAGCTTTCATGTTTGGCCCAAACTATTTTTATTTCCTTCTCTTGCGTGAAGCAAGGAATAAGTTTAATGACAGCTCATACACTTGTTGAGAACACGCTGCAGTCTTTCTTCTACAAAAGAAAGAAATACTTAACTAGTATTGTCAAAGAGGGATTACCTTAAGATTACAGGAATGCATATAAACTGGACAGCACAAAACTTTAAAATAATGATCAGAAGAAGCTTCATACCTTTTAGGCTGTTAAAAAGCACATGCAATAAAATACAGAATACTGTTGGAATGAAATTGCAATTCTTAAAGAAGCTTGGTAAGACAAATCTTACACTTGCTTGTACACAGCAGCAGCACACATGCACTGCTAACCCTTTAGAAGTTGCAAATCTAGAATTCTGGCTCAAGTTGAAGTAACATCTCAGAAGGATTACAATTTCTGTAGGCCTTCTCTTTAAATGTATGTACATCCTTGATGTTTAAGCAGCAGCTGACTTCTGAAGACAGCAGAAGGTAGGAAATCACTTAAACTGAAGTTCTATTAAGAAAGAACTTAGCAGCTCATCTGGAGCTATCAACGAACAGCCATTTCTAAGCACATAAACCTGACTCCACAAACCTGGAGTGCCAACAGGACACCACTGAAGTGCATACTGCTAAGATTGTTTCCCCAGAGGCGAACAAAAAGCACATGAATCTATTAGCTTCTGAAGTCTAGCCTGGGGGGAACACCCTCCCTGCCCCCAACCAAAACCAACCCACAAGCTGTTTTGAAATTATGGATGATAGCAATTATATTTGCCTAAATAAGCTTTAACCAGAATAACTGGGCAAACCCCTTGTTACAGAAGTACTGAACCTTAGCATAGTTGAGCTACAGTTTGTAAATGAACTAAATCCAAAGGGGAAGACCCATATGGCAAAGCCTTTTAATTTTGAATCAGGTGAACATTTTCAAACAACTTTTATCTATCAGTTCTATCCACAGAGCATCCATACACAGACAGAAGGACAGATGGCTAGGTATAGGGATTCATGCCCACAGTGATGTTAAGATTATGAAGAGAGGATCTAAGAGGTCTACATAGCACAATTAAGAGTCTGACAGGAGTGGTAATATCGGTAGTGTTTCTTCCTGCCTCACATTCCAAAGAACATTTTGATTAAATGAAGCTGAACCAAGGGCACTTGCAAGATAACGGAGAATTAGGAAAGCATAAAAAATGAGCAATGGCACAAACAAAAACCTTCAGCGATTGCTCCCACATGACCATCATGTCTGTATCATACTCATATTCCCTGGCAAACAAACCTGATTTTGTCTAAAGCTCTGTCACAGAACACAAACTCTTGAAAAAAGAAGAGGGTGATAAGTTTATTTAGATGCTCCCTTTCTGATCCCTGAAAACACAACTATATTATCATGGTGCTTCTCAGAAAGCACTAGAATGACTTGCATTCTAGGCAAACCCAAACTAAGTTCTGGACTCCTTATGCAAACATCAATATACAATAGTAATAAGCCATTAAATATCAGATGCCTATTCTGCAATGGATCTCTCTTCAAGTGAGCTGTTGAAATCTGGGTATGCATACTTGCCAATGAAGAAATTTTGAAGTCTGCATGGTTTGTTCCTTTCACCATTGCAGGTGAATTTATGAATTTACCCGTTTCTCCTATATGTGCTGGTACTATCAACAGTTAGTATTTTCTTCACTAGGCACCTAAGTTAATTATTTCACTGGTATCAAGCCCCTCCCTCGCCCCCCAATAATCAATTCTACACAGTCTACTATGAGTGACATCTTATTTTACAAATTCTTAGACTACTGTCCCCAGGAAGGCACTGAAATCTAAAAGAGTAGTCAGAGTTCACTAACAGAGGTTTCCCCAAACAGAAATCCACTCCCCACCCCTCCAATTGTGTTTTACAATTCAAAAGTCATTTTAGATGCTACCTGTTTTTCAAGTCCACTAGTTTGTAAGGCAACCATTATGTTTTTCTAATTACTATCCACCAGCTCCAAGATAAGTAACATTACTAAGTACTTATAGCTTTTCTCCAAACAATACTATGATTAGAAGCTAGACAAGATGCAATTACATAAATTAGTTACAATTGTGCATCAATACTTCTTCCATAATTGTCAATAATCTTACCACCTCACTATAACTGGGAACTTACAAAGTTTAGTACTGAAGAGTTTTTGGACTAAGCTGAGTATATGCCTTGCTTCAGTCTTCTGGTTCACCTGAAATACGACATCAAAATTAAAGAAAAGAGTTGGTATCTCTCTTTCAGAGGTTACAAGTAAGCATGCCTCACTTTTCAAATAGAATTAATTCTCAGAATAAGACATGAACATGTGTGCCAACACATTCCACAGCCTACATATACATTTAGTGTGGCAAAAGCCAGACAGAACAATTCATATTCAGTATGCAAAGTAACTATCAGACATTCACAAATCAGAACTTCATGAAAACCTAGCCCCACTTACACATGTCCTTTCCTTCCTTTTCAATGATGCTTCAATTCTTTCAAAGTTATGCTCTACTTAGGTTGAGAGAAAAGAAATCTAAATTCTACTTGAACATTTTCTCTCACCAAAAACACTTAAGATACTTTGCATATCAAATTCCTTCTTATGCCTGCTCACTAAAATTAGTGACTATGAATCTAAATAATGAAATGAAAAATTGTACTTATTAAGAGTTGTTCCTGCATCTAAAATGAGTTAAAGTTCTCTAAACAATTTTCTTCATGATTCTAGGAAATTTACTTCTCTGTTATGCTGCGCTTTTTTCACTTATGAAGTGAAGGTAATGCTTATTTTTTATAGGGTTAAATTCATATTTGCAACATTATTGGGCCCACAGTTCATAGCTATTATGAGTACAAAAATATGTTATTAAATCAAAAGGATTTGACCATTTGTTTCTCATTTTAGAATCCTGTCTTATAAAAGCATATTCATTTTAAAAGCAGACTTTGTTTTAACTGTATGTTTTAAATTACTTACTGGTTCTTCTTTAACCACCAGGCACAAGTCACCATCGCTGCTACGAGTGCCAAACCCATTCAGCGAGGACCCAACCAAAAAGAGTCTGCTCTCTGTAACAGAAGAATGGCAGAATAAAAACTGATGTAGCATATCATAGTTTAAGAGGAAGGAAAAACTGTGAACCTGAAGAACATTGAAACTGATATTAAGTAATCAAATTCAAAACATACGTGGAAAAATTTGCTGAATTTCTCTCTGGAGTTCTGTTCTGCAGAGCTCTTTTCTGTTCAAATCACAGGTCTGTTGCTGACATGCTTGAAACAACTCCAAAACCTGCTGACTTAACTTGACACACATATTCAAAAAGTAAGGATACAGAAAAGTGAACATTCTTTCCTGCCAGAGATGCAATTACACAAAACACAGAGGACTGCATTAAAAAAAAAAATTTAAAAGAAATCCAGCATTGTTTCGCATGACCTATTCCATTGTCTAGAGTTTTACCCACCTTGACTTCATATTGAACAACTCCCTGGAAGAAACTTCTGCAAAGCTTTTAAATTTAGATTTGTTCAATCTATAGAAAATAGTTTTTGCCTCATCAGTACCTGCAGCCTTTCAGGGAATAAGCAGTGAAATACCAGAGGTATCTTCTGCTGACTTCAATGTCAACAGTGTGCCTACCGGTAATAGGGAGAAAAATGAATATTAAGACTGATTTAAGTTAGCTTTCTTTTTTTATCCCACACAAACTACTAAAGTAGTCGTCAGTTCTTTGGTAGAAGGAGGTATTAACTGTTTCTCTTTCACAACAGTGTTATATGTTACAATCAACAGGCATATTTATACTAAAAAAACCAAACCCAAACTTCTGTCATGCTGGTGCAGATAAAGTACAAAGACTGATTAGCCACATGCCCACACATTTCCAACTCCACTGTCCACCTAAAGAATACATCCTCTTCTATATTCCCGAACAGCTAGGACAGTAACTTCTACCTCCTTCTGAAGAGGTGTAGAGGACATCTTTGCAGGCCAAATACTGTATTTATTCAGAATGGGCTTCTCTCACATTACTAGGGTGTTTTGCTTTTTTTTTTCCATCAGGATTTTCCCCATTCCCAATCATGTGTCACATGGACTATCACTCCAATTTCTACTTCCTGGAGTGGACACGTAGGTTTCCTGACATTTGTATGGAAACCAAACAACACAAGCAATACCCCCTTACCCCCCAAAACGCTCCAAACGCCAACAAGGCTACACAAGACCATAGTGGCAGCTACATTTATTGATATTCCTTCTAATGACAGCTCAGTGATAGAAATGCCATGACACTGTCAAATAACCTTGCAGAAATTTTTGTGGTCTCCCACAGCACCATTGGACCCTGCTTACTCAGAATGCAGATGTAAAGCATAGGCATAGAAAGATACTACCTTATCTTTGGCCACAGGGAGTGGGGTTTCTATAGGGTCTGGAAACAAAGTATATCGCAACGGAGGGACACATCCAGTTAAATCTGGTATGGAATGTGCATGGAACAGTGGTGATTGATTTGATCCTGGGAAGGAGTATCTATGTTCCACGGGTAAAGGCACTGCTTGGTTAACAATGGTTGTTTCAGAACGATGGGAATTAAACCGCTGCCGTTTGACATCATGTGGAATACTTTGATCACTGAGTCTCCTGAGGGGGAGAGAGAGAGAGAAAACCAGTAATTGCTCTAGTTTGCAAGCTTCAACCTATCATTAGAAGACAGTTGCTACAAAGTACAAATACTAATGCTTAATTATGTGACTATTTCACTAAAAGCTAGTATTCCACAGAACAAAAGGTGTGCCCATTCTGTATATTAGTTAAAATAAACCTGGAATGGGAAAAGAGAACACACAACTGCAAAAGTGCAGCTACCCTTGAAGTGAATTGATGGAACTGCTTTACAAGAATGTCTGTATCAACCAATTGAAACCTAAATGGCAAGCTCAGTTAAGCAGCACAGCTCGGGAAGCTGGTCATACTAGTTTGCTGACAACATAGGGGTTTGGGGGTTTGTTTTGGTTTTTTTTTAAAAGATACATATAGACTGCGTAAGGGTACTTTTCTTTTAAATCAACATAAATACAGTGAGAAGTTTTGTCAGTTCTGAAAACCCAGTGATGAATAAAATAAATTCAGTAGTGGGGAGGGGAGAAGAGAAACTTATCACAATAGCCATTCAAAAATGTAGCATTTGTCTCTGTCTTAGACTGCACAGACAGTAAACTGTGTAATCTGGGCAGAAAAGAAACATTATTAATTTGACAAATCTAACTAATGATTGTATTAAGCTACACAGGTCATAAACCTAATGTTCCATGTTCAAACACTAGTTTATGTCCTCATTAAGTCATTTGTCACAGGAATTCAAGCGTATTTGAAGAGGTGTAGTGATCTTACAGACAGCCACTTGGCATCTAACTCTTCATTAAGAAAAAGTTGCACTGAAAGCTGATCAGTACTTGAATGCTGTGGTCCATCCACAGTAAAGAATAACAGAGGACATTCATGTTTTGTTTATACATTAAGTATTGCATAAGGTTGACCAGTATGGAGGTACTCGTACATTTTTTTTTTAAATTAAAGAACATGAAATCATATGTTCATATATATCAAAGAATTAACTATTAATAAAACTACAGTCACTTCTTGTAGTCAGAAAAGCTGGCATCAAAGTAGTGTGGGGACCTGGACAGATAGTATTATTAATAAAAATTCAGCTGAAGAGACCTCAAGTCATCATTTCAATTTTCAAGTCTGAGAGAAGTTCTGATAACATTACCTAACCACAATCTTAAAGGAACTCATAATGTAACATTAAATCAAAACATAATGCTGTTTCAGCCTATTTTGACATGCAAGAAGAACTTGCATGAACTCATGTTCAGCAAAAATACCTTAAGAAGAGTCAACTCAAGATCTAAGGATTAACTAGTTGACTAAAAAACTCCTAAAACAGCATAGCTTTCCATAAACCAGACTGGTCAAGAGGAAAACATGCATGCAGCATGAAACGGGGAACTTCTTTAGTTAATATGATAGTTATATACTCAACGATAACTTAATACCATATATTTAATTGCACTTATTTTCTCATCTGTTAAATCTGGAAAAGAAATAGCATATAGGAAACAGTTTTGAAGACAGATTACAAGAATCTTCCTGCCTATCAGCTGATTCACAGAATTATAACAAACAGATATCAAGTACTATTTCTGAACTGATAAGAAGTGATTTTTTTTCTAGAATGTTAAAAGAAAACAAAATCATATAATCCTCTGAAAGAATAATAATCTGAAATTCCTCTTTCTGTTGCACCCAAATTAACAAAGGAAATTATGTAAATTAAAGTAAGTTTAGTTTTTTGAAAAGTAGAAAAACTATGTTTCCATGAAATTCCCCCAAAAAAAAGAACTTAACTTACATATGCTTGAATTTAGCACTTTGTATTTGGAAAATAAAGTACCACATAATTAAGAAAATCAGGAGAAACATCTAGTGTGTCATCAGAAAACCATCACGTTCCCATAAAACATTGAGGGTGCAGTCTTACTCTTAACTTGACAAATTAACAGGAAGAGAACACTCAATTACCACAAACCCTCTTATAGTCAAGCACACACAGACTATGATCTATTATAGTATTAAAATAAAGCACGTAAAAATCACAGTTCTGTAAGGCTACAGCTGTTGGAAGAGGAAAAACTACACATACTAAGTCACTTATGAGTACTAAAATTCTCAAAAGCAGGTACATAAATGCTTTAAAGAGTCATGACATGGCCTGTTTCATCAAAAAACATTTTATTCAGTATTGCAATTTCTAACAAAATTTAAGTTACACAAGAAATTGATATTAGACAAGCTTCACCATGGGTACTTTAGAAACAGAATTAATCACACACACACAAAGAACTTACTTTCTTCCTCGAAAGGCTATGGGGGCATCAGACATATGTGCTGGACTGCCATTTCCATTAGGCATTGGCTGCTGCGTAACAGCTGGAATAGTTGCAAGGTTCCCACTCAGAAGAGCCCTGGAAAGACCACAGTCAGCAACTGTTATTCATATCATAACTAAGATGCTTTTTATGGGTTGGTAGTTTTTCTTAAGCAAACATTAAACTCAGCAAGTCACATCACTTTTTTCTTAGAAGCAATACATCTGTCTTTTCTACTCAAAATGAAAAGATATTTCAGTATATAATGTATTTTTCATTAAAAAAAATAGAAGAGGGTAATTTTTCATAGCACGTGTGTAAGAATTGGTTAGCAAACAAATTAACTTAAGGTACTGTTAAATTTAAGAGCCTAAAGAACACTATGGTATCTTCAAATCTAGCCCCAAGGATAAACGTTCTTCCCCTTCTCATCTCCTCTCTGTTTTCTTCAGTAAACAAATACAATTGAAGATCTTTAAAACTGAACTGTGGATTATTAAATCTAATCTGTGCAATGGCATCTCATGCATTATGCACAATGCAGGAGAGCATTAAAGCTTGCAGGTCACTAACAGAAATTATACAGCTGTTTTACAGGACACCTTCCTATTTTTTAAAGCTTAATGCAGTTTAATGTTAAAAACAGTGACAAACATTCTCCATAAACTGAAATACTTCTTTCAAAAGACTGTAACTCTCTTTTTGAGCCCAATCCCCACTATCAAACCTTACTGTACTTACGCTTCATTCTGAAAGTTAAACCGAGTATCAGTAACTTGCTGGTGAGGGAGAAGAGTAGGTGGTGTATTTAGAGGAAGCTTATTGAAGCAATCACTCTGCTGTTGTTGTTGCTTTTGTTTTGGAGGGAAGGGTGGACGACCCGAGTTGGAGGAATTTGGGAACATTCTCCTTTCTACCTGAAGTGAACATGTATCCTCCCACCTACTTTAAAAAAAAAGAAAGAAATTGAAATTAGGCAACAAGAAATACTAGTTACCTTTTAAACTCTTGGTTTATAAATTGAAATAATCTGCAATTTATTTCCAGAAATTGCTTAAAAGAATTGTGATTGTGGGCTAGTTTTACCTCCTTTCAGGAGAAGATACTAACTAAATAAAAATACTACATACTTTTAAGTTTCACAATTACTACTTACTTTATTCATGTTTAAAATTGAATTTTTATTTGCTCCCTTCCATTTTAAGTTCAATTTTAGAAAAATTACAAGACACAAGACATAACAGTGTTCATCTCAAGGAAAAGTAACATATTACAGTGGAATGTGTTTTTTATTTTAAGTATTATGTATTGATGAAAGTTATTTTGGGGATGTTTACTTTTGATTCTGCTGAAGAAACAAACCCATATTGCATGACAAGAAAGTCACCAGACATTTACATTTAATCAGAGTGGTATTTATGCGCAGTCTAAACTTTTCCATTTCTAGTACAGACAAGCAATGTAACACCTGTTAACACACCTCATTAATCTCTAAGCAGCCCAGGCACTCTCAGCATCACATAGAGCGTACATGAGGAGTTTATGGATGTAGTTCATCAGTAACAAACCTGTACGTCAGAATTCAAGACTGAGTTGCACAAGTAACGCGTCTGTTTCAGTCTTTTAAGTTGTAAATACCAGAAAGAAAAGCAGCGGAGGAGTTACCTTCCCAAAACCAAAACAAAACAGCGCAGTAACACTGCTGTCTCACAGGAGTTATAACAGCACTTACCGTGACTTTCAGCAGAGATTACGCTGGCAGAAGCTGCCAGGCTCTCCAAAAAGTGTTTCATAATCTTTACAATTCCAGGACAGTTGTCCCAGCGGGCACTACTTCCAAATGAGCGTGTGCTTTTGGGGGAAGCACACAAGTAAGTGCCGGTACACCTCCCGCGTAGGTAAGCCCAAGCGCACGGCCCGCTCCCGCGGCCACCGGAGCCCCACCAGCCCACAGCCTCAGCCCCTGGCACCCAGCGGGAGGCGCCCAGGACCACCGGACCGCTCGGGCCCCGACCGACACCGACACCCCCACCACCACCCCCACCCCCAGTACCTCTCCCGACAGCAACAGGGGGCCCCCGCTGCGCCGGCGAACTCACGCCGGGCCCGAGCCGAGGCAGGCGGGGAGGGCCCGCAGGCGGCACCGCGGGGCGCCCCGCAGGCTCCCCGAGGCGGCAGCACGGGCCGGACGCGGGCAACTACCGCTCCAGCTGAGCGCTGCCCCCTCACCCGGATACGAAGGCGCCAGCAGGAAGTGACGGCCCCGCCAGGCTCTCGCGCCGCGTTTTCCCCGCTGCGCCTTGGCCCTCCTGCCCCCTAGCGGCCCG